TTTTGTCCTATAGTTTTATTTTTAATCCCCCGTCCCCGCAGGAGGCCTTTTGCCTTTTGGTAGGCCGTCATTGTAAATAAGAATTTGTTCTTAACTGACTTGCCTAGTTAAATAAAGGTTAAATAAAAAAAGTAAATAAAAATATATAATATAATTGTCTGAATGTTAAACTGCTGAGGAAAAGGTAGCCTCCATGCCATGCCTTAACACTGAGCAGTAAGATAAGAGGGCCTCAAGATTATATAGATAACCTGACATTCTTTATGGCATGGAAGATAGGGGAGGAGGAGGAGGAGGGGTTAGTGTGTGGGAGGATGTTTTATGTGTGGAGCTTTCAAATCACATGGATAGAACAAGCAGCTGGGGGAAAGAGGCATGCTGTCCCTGTGCAGTATAAGTTTCACTCTGTTAACACGTATATCCATGTGTGTGTGTTGTGTACTCAAACGCCATGCAAGAATTGCAATCATGCAATGAAATCCCTCTTGTCCGTCAGGTAATTGCTCGGTAAGCAACTCTTGCATGGCCTTCCTTGATTCCCCCCTCAGTTAGTGTGTGCATCCCAAATTCCTTATATAGTGCACAACTTTATACCAGAGCCCTATGGACATTTGATCAAAAGTGTGCACTATAAAGGGAATCGGGTGCCATTTGGGATGTAAACAGTATCCATTCACCTGTGTGATCTGGATGCCTGCCTTTGTTTAACATGTTGAATGTGGCCATGTTTGTATTTTCTGCGGCGGGAGGAGGAGAAGGATGTGGCTGGTGGCACGACAGTAAGTGACAGATGGGAGGTCCTGACTATGACCCACTTGATACAACAAAAGGCAATTATTCCTCCCTTCCATGGCTCCCTCCCTGGCTTCCTCAGGAGACTTCCTCCAAAAAGTGTCTTAGGCTGCTTAAAATGTGTCCCCCCTCAAAAATACAATGGGTACATGTGTAGGCTAGGCCTACTCAAAATTGTGTCCAAATTAAGCAGTTGCATAACATACCCCCCCACCCCCCACCCCCCACACCTTGTCACAACACAACTTATTGGCTCAAACGCATTGAGAAGGAAAGAAAGTCCACAAATTAACTTTTAAGAAGGCACACCTGTTAATTGAAATGCTTTCCAGGGGACTACCTCATGAAGCTGGTTGAGAGAATGCCAAGAGTGTGCAAAGCTGTCATCAAAGCAAATGGTGGCTATTTGAAGAATATATGGGGTGTAGACAAAATGTTGACGTTTTAAAGCAAGTTTTCTGCAATTCAAGGCATTTTGCCATTGGTTGGAGAGAAAATGTTCAAATTGTATAACTAATTTCATGCCATGATGCTCGTTTTGCAGAGAGAAAAAATTGCAGTTTGACTGACATAGCAAGAGGATAACTGCTGATGCACAACCACATTTTGAAATTGCACCTCGTGTATTCTACTATTCTAGCGCTCAACAGTAAGTTGAGACCTGGCTGAGTTAGGGGGTCCGGGGCCCTAGGCGACCGCTTATGTCGCTTATGCCCAGGACCAGCCCTGGCTGTGCGCAATAACCTGGGGATGAGGTTACAGCAGCAGGGATGGGCGCTCCCTTTGCTGTGGAGGGTGAATTTTCAAGGTGATGTTAATTCAGGGGTAGTGTCGTGTCACGTGACAAGTGTATCTCCAACCCATCTCCCTCTCCCGGAAATGTGAATCAGCAGGACCCAAACATATTCCCCATGCAGACTTACTGAAACGTACCTAGTAAACCCAACTCTAGAGCCCGCTATAACTTGCATAGCCTACTGTAGCCTAGGCGATATACCTCCCCGATAATAAAATGCATATATGTAGGCTACAGCTTTTACAGGACAGAGACCACACAGACCTATTGTCAGACATCATTATGAACGTTATCTAAATCGAAAAGCCTAATCATGTACAAAAATCAAACATCAATTTGGTCTGTTAACACATTTATACACAGCACCTATGCTGCCTTGCATGTTGGTAATATAAATGTATTCGTGTAATGAATAAAAAGGAAAGAATAAGACATTGACCCACTATAATAGCCTACGGCTATAGTGCACGTCACCTCTACAATTATCTCTGCATAACCTTGCTACCCGCGCATCTCCCCTCTAACGCAGGCTAAAACCTTTAATTTCAGTGGGTAGGCCGTTGCGAACGGCAGTGTATAGACTACCTAGAGGTTAAATACAATATATAGTCCAGGAGGAATTGTATTCGTTCATATTTGAGGAGGCATTTTTCATATCTTCTCGTGTGCACTATTTATGTTATCCAAGGCAAATAGCCTACTGTAACCGGTTGGACGTTGCAAACTGCATTGACTGGCTCGCAGTAGTGTAGTATTACTCGGTGGTTCTCATAATCTCCCAGATTGCCGGCTAGTACTGCAGTCGATGCTGCAGTTGTAGGCTCTTGCACCGGGCTGTGTGCTGCGAAAGCAGACTCAATGAGAAAGGAATGCTTGCCTTCGTTCTGATCTCTGGATCTATCTGGATTATATTAGGTGAGTTTCATATATTTTCATTCATTATGTTCACCATAGAATAGCAGGTGCCATGTCTTGCATGGGCGCAGCCTCTCTGAAATTGTGAGACAGCTTACTGATTTACAATTCATATAGGATGAATTATTTTTACGGGTGCAGCTTCCATATTTAGAATAGGCTATAGAGTGGCCTGGATGATATGTATGTACATTTTCTGGAGACATGTACGTACATTATTCGCGTCCGGCCTACACGGAATGCCTCTTGGAAAGGTTATCTTTATGTGCGTACCTGCCGGCCTGACAGGGAGTGCACCATTATAACGTAGCCTATTTGATTAACTACTCTTAATAATAGGCTACACCAGTTGTTGGGACATTTTCATGGAATAACGATTTTATTCTAAGCAGGCCTTGCAATTACAGGCATATGGCATGGCATGGGCAAGATCATAGCATAGATGATAGATCGATCCCCGGGACCACCCATACACAAAATAAATGTATGCACACATGACTGTAAGTCGCTTTGGATAAAAGCGTCTGCTAAATGACATATTATTATAACGCCAAAAACTCTGCGCATAGGACAAATGGGTCGGTAAATTTTTTTATTCAGATAGGCCTAGATATTATTTTGTGTTTCAATGAATTATACATATTTACTGTAGCCTATTTTGTTAACGAAGTAACTCCACGTGACAGACTTCAAAATGAAGGCTATCTCTGCATAATGAAAACGCTCATCTCTCAACCACTTAGCAACTGCATGTTGCCTATCAATGGCTCAATGACTGCTGTTAGCATGCATCGGCGTAAATGTAGGCTATTATCAGACAGTCAGATATACATAGATCAACAAAATATTGTCCATTTTGTAATACATAATTGAATGTAGGATATGCCTTTATTGCAACGTGCCAAAGTGGCTGCGGATGGATTTCTTCTTCTAAATCTACCCCTGCCATAGTGTGACGTGCACCTTCACGCGCTGAAGCGGGCTTGTCTGATTGGAAGGAGCTGTTCAATGGTGAGGGTCCTGAAACACTGCAGCCAGTCCGAGCGCATATAGCGCTCTTTGGAGTAACGGTCTGTAAGACGCCGTTTTATTCTGCCAGTTCAGGGGCATGGGGAAAAATGTGACCATTTAAAATACGTTTGGCCATATACTCAACATATCAGCATGTTTGATCTATAGTAACCTCGTGCCCAAAATATAAAGTAGACTAGCCTAAGACCAGTACTTCTGTTGCGTTCACAACGTTTACTTTACTGCCATTGTACGCTGTCAAATGCTACTCCTCGTCATGCATAGTGCATTGTTTTAACATCTGAGGTACTACACAGGTAAACCTATTATTTTTCCCCTTTCAATAATTTACAGGATGAGACACATGCTCCACTCATCACAGATTGAGAAAGTACATGTGCTTCTCAGTTTAAAGGTTTTGCTGAAATTCTGTATTTTCTGAACATTGTAAGCTGCATTTCTCAATCAGCGTATATTTAAGTCATCATGGAACCTAGCTAAGCTGTATGAAGTAATATTATAGGCCTACCAGTGGTAGTTGTGTGTTGTCTCTGTAATTTAGGAATATTGCATTCGAAGAGTGTACATAAAATGAAGCTCTTGGGGGTGATGCATATTTGCAATATTTAGCATAACCTTTTTAGCCATTACCTCTTCAGTTAGGTCTGGCTACTGTACAGTAGGCTATGCTACTACTATATATGTGTGAGGTGTCAATTCACATCAAACTGGGTGGTTCAAGCCCTGAATGCTGATTGGCTGACAGCCATGTTATATCAGACCATATGACAAAATGTTTATTTTTACTGCTCTAATTATGTTGGAAACCAGTTTATAATAGCAATAAGGCACCTCAGGGGTTTATGGTCAATTGCCAATATACCATGGCTAAGGGCTGTATCTAGGCATTCCGCGTTGCATTGTGCATAAGAACAGCCTTTAGCCATGATATATTGGCCATATACCACACCCCCTCGGGCCTTATTGCTTAATTAACAGGTTCATATTTATGTAACTGCATTCCATTTTTAAAGAGGGGAAATTATATGTCTACTTCTCATATAGTCCATCACATATATTAGTATTAAAACATAATGGATGGATATTGCTCAGCCTCACTCAGACAGTTGTGAGGGTTATGAAGAATGGGGGTCGATGGTGTGGATGTTTCAGCATCACAAGCGTTCCCATTTCTTGAATGTGGGTTATTGGACTGCATTGACCAAACGGAATGTGCTGAACAAGGGTTACATCCTCTCCTGATGCATCACACGCTTTACTGGGTTTCATTAGATCACTGTTAACTAGAAAAAGCATTGCCTGACATCACCCATCTCTTTTAAAATGACTCATGTATTTGCTCACTTTATTAGTCAATCCTGTTTGTTTGTATGTGGATGTGTTTGTTTGAGCGTGTACACTTGCATTTGTGCGTTTGTCTGTATATGTGTGAATGTACTCAGTACTGTAGTATACAGTCTGTAAAATGACACATGTGATTTGCTGGAGGAAGGGAGGCACTGTGGGTTTAGAGAGGGGGGAGGGAGGACGGGAGAGGATGGGGGAGAGAGCGAGAGTAGCTGCAGCGTCTGCTGAGGGTGGTGTGATACGGTGGCCAGCCAGGCACAAACTAGGCCAAATGCGCTTCTCCTTTACCCCCTTGCTGTCCTCGCTGAGCGTAATCTCCCAGCGGTGGGGGGTAATCACAGGTTTGCAGAAGGCAATGTGAAATCTGCCCAGAGGCCCAGACACCACAGACACACACTACGAGAGGCTAGTGTGCCCTGCTTCCTTATTAGTGTTGCTGCTTTTCCTCCTGGTGTGTTGAAGTGGGCCTGTGTATTGATGCTGAACCCTAACCACTTTTAAAGCACCCTCCACGCTTGCCTTTTTCTTAACCAATGAGATCCTCCATATGTCGTTAGCCTAGAAACCAGCCAGTGCACTCACATGGAGTGTGTGGATGTGCGCAGCATGCGTAGAATGGGCTTAAAGTGGCTGTGGATCTGCAGAGGTGACACTGTTGGGAGGAAGTGACTGGGTGGTCACAGGCAGTGAGAGTAAGAGAGAGAGAGAGAGCGAGAGGTGACTTTAAATAGAAAAGGCAGAGCAGGGGGTTACTTCTGTGCTAACAGGCCGTAATCTCATGGCAGCAGAGGCTTATTGCTGGGTACACTCTGCAGATGGGGTGTTCCTCCCCCTTGACTTAAGCCTCAGAGGTCAGCCAACACCTTCCATTCACAACGCCTAAGCTACCGGTAGGCTACATGTACAGTAACCAAGGACACAGTAGGCCTAGCTACATACTTTTTTTTTTTTTTACATTAGTTTATTTATTGAGTAAATATTTTCTCAACTCTTATTTTACTTATTTATTTACTATTTTTAGTCATTTAGCAGACGCTCTTATCCAGAGCGACTTACAGGAGCAATTAGGGTTAAGTGCCTTGCTCAAGGGCACATCGACAGATTTTTCACCTAGTCGGCTCTGGGATTAGAACCAGCGACCTTTCGGTTACTGGCACAACGCTCTTACCCACTAAGCTACCTGCCGCCCTACATTGTTAGTTAAGGGCTTGTAAGTAAGCATTTCACGGTACGGTCTACCTGTTGTATTCGGCACATGTGACAAATAAAATTGAATTTGATAAGGAAAGAAACAGTACATATATGGAAAATTAACTAAATGGACTCTACACTGTAAAACCGGATAAGTTCTGGCTACTCAAACATTTTGAGGAAACCAATTACCCAAAAAATTTTTTTTTAAGAAACTTAAATAGCTTAAGTGAGCAGTACTACCTTCATATGAGTAATACAAATGCTATTTTTTTGTAAGATATACTTACATTTAATGCCCCCACTAAGCCATGCCTCCAATCATTTCCCAGTATGCCTTTTCGATTGAATTGTAGAGTTACCACCCGTGACTGTATTTTTTAGTGACAGAGACATGGTTGTTAAATTTCTTCATTTTCAGTCCTGTGGCCTTCAGCAAGTGAGTTCCTAGGCGAATTTTATTAATATAATTGAACCATTACATATATTATAAGGCCTTATACAGTGGCCTGAAACTCATAGTTTATAGGCCACGTCAGGCGTGTAAGTAGGGTTGCAAAATTCCACTAACTTTACCCAAAACAATTCTAGTAATTTTCCAACCAGGATTTCTGAAAAACCTGGAAAATTTGCCAGAATTTTGAAACCCTAACTGTAAATCACATTATGCTGGCTTGCAAAGTGATGTGTAATTCCTGTCCAATAGCTGAAATTTGTATTCACCCGCAACCTGCATTGATAATGACTGCCAGGGTTAAGAACAGTGGGAGCAAACTACCTAAGCCATTTAAACTGGAACAACCATTTCAGTAACGGGTGCAAAAATTCAATGATTGGATTAGTTTAGAAAAATATATATTTGTGTAGCATAACAGTTATTCAATCAATCACTCCATGTACATGCAAAAACACAGCTATTAAAAACAATTTTTAAAAATCTACCTTCAGTAGAGCATGCTGGGAAAAAAGTTAATTTGTTATCTTTAAAAAAAAAATGTTGGTGTGACTTTTCATTTAGTTTTGAGTCAGTACCACATACACATTTTAAGTAATAATGACTTTTCATTGACTTTGAGTACAACGTACTAGAAGTATTTGAGTTCAAAATGCCTTACAGTGTAACTGCTGCATTGCGGTGGGAATTAAATAAAGGAAACTAACGTATATCTTGCTGTCTGCGTACCCCTCCAGCCACAGAGATCTTGAGCTCACTGTGTCCCTAATGACACAAATAAGGCTGTGTAAGGCGACTTCTGTGATTGGTCCATCTGATCAAGGTCATTATTGTTGAGGATGATGATGTGGTGGAATTGTGGGATGCAGCGTTTGCCTGAGCAGCTCTTCAGCTGGCCTGTGCCCAGTACAGTAGTACTCTTCCTGGGCTAAATATAGCTGGCTCTGACCTGTGTGTGAGTGATCCTCCAGTAGCTTAGTGTAAGGCTGGGTTACTATAGGACAAAGTGCAGAGAATTCCTATTGGATGAGAGGATAGGCTAACCCTCTAACCCTGATACAGATACACTCTGGTGATAGGCTAATGACTATGATGGGCTGCCATCATTAGGGGAAGGGTCTACAACTGTTAGCCCCCTTGTTTACATCCAAGCTTTCTTACTCTCCAACTTGGGGCTTGACTTCCTCAAAGGTTGATTGGGTATTTTACTTTTGTATCCCACCTGGACAACGCTTAGCCTGGCCTAGTGTCAGCTGATATGGAAAGGTTCAGTCAACAGTTGGATGAAAAACTTTCTCTAATACACTATTAGGCCTATAAAGTCTCTCCCAAGATTTTGTGAACGCTTTACGTTGCATAGGCATTGTTACAGAGTAGCTACAATGTGATGACTAATGTGGTGACTTTACATGACATTGTAACAAGGACGTAAGTAGACATGTAGTTACATCATCAATCCATATCCGTGTGATTAATTCTGGCCCAGCCTGTTTGTCTCTGGTGTTTCATGTTCAGTATATTAGTGAAATCAATGGCCGTTATAACAACTGTTAAACAAGCACTTTGAACAGCAGGTTGACTGGTGTTTGTGTTGAGGTGGGTAGACTTCCCCAGACCAGAACTTTTAATGGCTCTACCTTGAAATCAATAGCCTCAACAGTGTCAGCTAGTTTGGTGTCATTAGAATGAATAATACATTGACACACAGACAATGAAGCACAATGTGATCCCCTAAGATGGACCAGTATGCCAGTGTTGTTCAAGCATGTACCCATTCTTCAGGCTAGCATGTTCGATTCAACTAGCCTAAGACTAGTAATTTAAATTTATTGGAATGAAAAAAATTACTTTCTAAAAAATAAATAATGGAAAAGTGGTGCGTGCATATGTATTCACCCCCTTTGCTATGAAGCCCCTAAATAAGATCTGGTGCAACCAATTACCTTCAGAAGTCACATAATTAGTTAAATAAAGTCCACCTGTGTGCAATCTAAATGTCACATGATCTGTCACATGATCTCAGTATATGTACACCTGTTCTGAAATGCCCCAGAGTCTGCAACACCACTAAGCAAGGGCCACCACCAAGCAAGCGGTACCATGAAGACCAAGGAGCTCTCCAAACAGGTCAGGGACAAAGTTGTGGAGATGTACAGATCAGGGTTGGGTTATACAAAAATATCAAAAACTTTGAACATCCCACGGAGCACCATTAAATCAATTATAAAAAAATGGAAAGAATATGGCACCACAACAAACCTGCCAAGAGAGGGCCGCCCACCAAAACTCACGGACCAGGCAAGGAGGGCATTAATCAGAGAGGCAAAAAAGAGACCAAAGATAACCCTGAAGGAGCTGCAAAGCTCCACAGCGAAGATTGGAGTATCTGAATAGTTGTTGTAAGGCAACAAAATAGAAAAAAATATTTTACTGCTCTAGGGATATCATTATTGTTTGGATAACCTTATTTACTATTATGTATTGATTTTTACCTTAAAATGTTTCACTCTATGTGCGATGCGCACTGCAGAGAACACTCAAAGAAGAATTGTCACTGAATTATTGTAATGTTTGTTTTTGTGTCAATTAATCCCATAAGGGATGGGTTGCCAATTGGCGATTTGACACGAAAATGAAATGTAATTCATTCATTAATTCAGTGTAGCCTACAGTTACCACCCACGCACACACACTGACTTATATTCATATCCCCCAGGCTACTACAGAGCATCTACTCCGCCACACACGTTTACAGTAACACACACAATCGCAAGCATTCACATACACAACATGCACAGTCTCTCTCTCTGTTGCCTGGTAGCAGCAGGCTTCCCCTCTCCCACAGCGATGGTGTGGCCAGGCAGGCTCATCAGGGACTGTTGTAACCCAGAAATCACACCAGCACGGATTAACTCAGTCTGTGTCCCAAATGACACCCTATTCCCTATATAGTTCACTACATTTGAACAGAGCCCTATAGGTCCTGATCAAAAGTAGTGGGAAATTAAAGGGACTAGGATGCCATTTGGAAGCAGGAAAGGTCTCCCTGCCAGGGTCTGTATAGCCGTGTCACTGGGTTATGTAGCAAAGGGGCTATTTATACAGTGCATTCGGAAAGTATTTAGACCCCGTGGTCCTCTGTAGCTCAGCTGGTAGAGCACGGCGCTTGTAACGCCAAGGTAGTGGGTTCGATCCCCGGGACCAACCATACACAAAAATGTATGCATGCATGACTGTAAGTTGCTTTGGATAAAAGCGTCTGCTAAATGGCATATTATTATTATTTATTTATTATTTACCCCTTAACTTTTTCCACATTTTGTTACGTTACAGCCTTATTCTAAAATTGATTAAATAGTTTTTTCCCCCCTTATCAATGTATACACAATAACCCATTATGAGAAAGCAAAAACAGGTTTTTCGAAAATGTTTGCTAATGTATTAAACATTTAAAACTGAAATATACATTTACATAAGTATTCAGACACTTTACTCAGTACTTTGTTGAAACACCTTTGGCAGCGATCACAGCCTCAAGTCTTCTTGGGTATGACACTACAAGCTTGGCACACCTGTATTAGTGGAGTTTCTCTCATTCTTCTCTGCAGATCCTCTCAAGCTCTGACAGGTTGGATGGGGAGCGTCATTGCACAGCTATTTTGAGGTCTCTCCAGAGATGTTCGATCGGGTTCAAGTCTGGGTGGGCCACTCAAGGACATTCAGAGACTTTTCCTGAGCATGCTGGAGCACGTTTTCATCAAGGATCTCTCTGTACTTTGCTCCGTTTATCTTTCCCTCGATCCTAACTAGTCTCCCAGTCCCTGCCGCTGAATAACATCCCCACAGCATGATGCTGCCACCACCATGCTTCACCGTAGGGATGGTGCCAGGTTTCATCCAGACGTGATGCTTGGCATTCAGGTTCAAAGAGTTAAATCTTGGTTTCATCAGACCAGAGAATCTTGTTTCTTATGGTCTGAGAGTTCTTTAGGTGCCTTTTGGCAAACTCCAAGCGGGCTGTCATGTGCCTTTTACTGAGGAGTGGCTTCCGTCTGGCCACTCTACCATAAAGGCCTGATTGGTGGAGTGCTGCAGAGATGGTTGTCCTTCTGGAAGGCTCTCCCATCTCCACAGAGGAACTCTGGAGCTCTGTCAGAGTGACCATCGGGTTCTTGGTTACCTCCCTGACCGAGGCCTTTCTCCCCTGATTGCTCAGTTTGGCCGAGTGGCCAGCTCTAGGAAGAGTCTTGGTGGTTCCAAACTTCTTCCATTTAAGAATGATGGAGGCCACTGTGTTCTCGGGGACCTTCAATCAGGCAGAAATTGTTTGGTAACTTTCCCCAGATCTGTGCCTCGACACAATCCTGTCTCGGAGCTCTACGGACAATTCCTTCGACCTCATGGCTTGGTTTTTGCACTGACATGCACTGTCAACTGTGGTACCTTCCAAATCATGTCCAATCAATTGAATTTACCACAGGTGGACTCCAATCAAGTTGTAGAAACATCTCAAGGATGCACCTGAGCTCAATTTCGAGTCTCATACAGTGATGGAAAAAAATATTTCATCCCCTGCTGATTTTGTACGTTTGCCCACTGACAAAGAAATGATCAGTCTATAATTTTAATGGTAGGTTTATTTGTACAGTGAGAGACAGAATAACAAAAAAAATCAAGAAAAACACATTTTTAAAATGTTATAAATTGATTTGCATTTTAATGAGGGAAATAAGTATTTGACCCACTCTCAATCAGAAAATGTTCTGGCTCCCAGGTGTCTTTTATACAAGTAACGAGCTGAGATTAGGAGCACACTCTTAAAGGGAGTGCTCCTAATCTCAGCTTGTTACCTGTATAAAAGACACCTGTCCACAGAAGCAATCAATCAATCAGATTCCAAACTTTCCACCATGGCCAAGACCAAAGAGCTCTCCAGGGATGTCAGGGACAAGATTGTAGACCTACACAAGGCTGGAATGGGCTACAAGACCATCGCCAAGCAGCTTGTTGAAAAGGTGACAACAGTTGGTGCGATTATTCTCAAATGGAAGAAACACAAAAGAACTGTCAATTTCCCTCGGCCTGGGGCTCCATGCAAGATCTCACCTCGTGGAGTTGCAATGATCATGAGAACGGTGAGGAATCAGCCCAGAACTACACGGGAGGATCTTGTCAATGATCTCAAGGCAGCTGGGACCATAGTCACCAAGAAAACAATTGGTAACACACTACGCCGTGAAGGACTGAAATCCTGCAGCGCCCGCAAGGTCCCACTGCTCAAGAAAGCACATATACAGGCCCGTCTGAAGTTTGCCAATGAACATCTGAATGATTCAGAGGAGAACTGGGTGAAAGTGTTGTGGTCAGATGAGACCAAAATCAAGCTCTTTGGCATCAACTCAATTTGCTGTGTTTGGAGGAGGAGGAATGCTGCCTATGACCCCAAGAACACCATCCCCACCGACAAACATGGAGGTGGAAACATTATGCTTTGGGGGTGTTTTTCTGCTAAGGGGACAGGACAACATCAAAGGGACGATGGACGGGCCATGTACCGTCAAATCTTGGGTGAGAACCTCCTTCCCTCAGCCAGGGCATTGAAAATGGGTCGTGGATAGGTATTCCAGCATGACAATGACCCAAACCACACGGCCAAGGCAACAAAGGAGTGGCTCAAGAAGAAGCACATTAAGGTCCTGGAGTGGCCTAGCCAGTCTCCAGACCTTAATCCCATAGAAAATCTGTGGAGGGAGCTGACTGTTCGAGTTGCCAAACGTCAGGCTCGAAACCTTAATGACTTGGAGAAGATCTGCAAAGAGGAGTGGGACAAAATCCCTCCTGAGATGTGTACAAACCTGGTGACCAACTACAAGAAACGTCTGACCTCTGTGATTGCCAACAAGGGGTTTTGCCACCAAGTACTAAGTCATGTTTTGCAGAGGGGTCAAATGCTTATTTCCCTCATTAAAATGCAAATCAATTTATAACATTTTTGACATGCGTTTTTCTGGATTTTATTGTTGTTATTCTGTCTCTCACTGTTCAAATAAACCTACCATTAAAATTATAGACTGATCATGTCTTTGTCAGTGGGCAAATGTACAAAATCAGCAGGGGATCAAATACTTTTTTCCCTCACTGTAGCAAAGGGTTTGAATACTTATGTAGGTGTGATATTTCTGGGGAGGTTTTCCAACATTTCTAAAAACCTGTTTTTGCTTTGTCATTATGGGGTATTGTGTGTAGAATTAATTTAATCCATTTTAGAATAAGGCTGTAACAAAATGTGGGAGAAAAGTCAACGGTTCTGAATACTTTCCGAATGCGCTGTATCACAGGAAGACTGATATTTTCCTCTATAACAACTTAACCCCTGTGGGCCTCGACAGACACGCTCGAAATGGAGCCGTGGCTAGGTCACATTACACCACCATCCCCTCTGTGTGACAATAGATTTACACATCATGTTTTAGGTCTGTTGACTTTTCTATGCTCTCTTGGCAGGGTAGCCACATGTAAATCATGTGCATCAATGGGCTCTGTGTATGTGTGTGATGGCCAGTGTAGCTCTGCTCTTTGATCTTCCTGGCAGTACAATTCACCCTCATCAAGGATGAGAAAAACCCAGAGATGGATATCGGACAGAGGCTGCTGTCTGCCACCTCTGGGCGTCAACATCTAGTCTAATGGACAGCAACACCACTAGCTACTGAACTTCTAGACCTAGGCTTATGTGATATAATACACTGAAACGAGGAAGGTCAGGATGGTATAGCCATAGAAATAAGAATGAATGGAATGGACTTGGAAGCTCTAACCCTGGCAATTGTCTTGAATGGAGACACCGTTTCTATTCATTCTTATTTCTATGGGTATAGCAGTGTGGAAATCAGTTCATGTAAAGCAACCCCTTGTACCATGTATCACATATCATTCTGAGCATTAATAGTATTACCATAATGACTTGTTATTGTAACCTTGCTGTAACCTTCCCAGAGAGATGGTACTGATAGGGATGTACACTACATGACTAAAAGTATGTGGACACCTGCTCGTCGAACATCTCATTCCAAAATCATGGGCATTAATATGGAGTTGGTCCCCCTTTTTGCTTCTATCACAGCCTCTACTCTTCTGGGATGTCTTTCCACTAGATGTTGGAACATTGCTGCGGGGACTTGCTTCCATTCAGCCACAAGTGCATTAGTGAGGTCGGGCACTGATGTTGGGCTATTAGGCCTGGCTCGCAGTCGGCGTTCCAATTCATCCCAAAGGTGTTTGATGGGGTTGAGGTCAGGGCTCTGTGCAGACCAGTCAAGTTCTTCCACACTGATTTCGGCAAACCATTTCTGTATGGACCTCGCTTTGTGCACGGGGACATTGTAATGCTGAAACAGGAAAGGGCCTTCCACAAACTGTATGCTGTAGTGTTAAGATTTCCCTTCACTGGAACTAAGGGGCCTAGCATGAACCATGAAAAACAGCCCCAGACCATTATTCCTCCTCTACCTAACTTTACAGTTGGCACTTTGCATTGGGGCAGGTAGCATTCTCCTGGCCTCCGCCGAACCCAGATTCGTCCGTCGGACTGCCAGATGGTGAAGCGTGATTCATCACTCCAGAGAACGCGTTTCCACTGTTCCAGTCCAATGGTGGCGAGCTTTATACCACTCCAGCCAACGCTTGGCATTGCGCATGGTGATCTTAGGCTTGTGTGCGGCTGCTCGGTCATGGAAACCCATTTCATGAAGCTCCCGATGAACAGTTATTGTGCTGACGTTGCTTCCAGAGGCAGTTTGGAACTCGGTAGTGAGTGTTGCAACCGAGGAAAGACAATTTTCACGTGCTTCAGCACTCGGCGGTCACGTTCTGTGAGCTTGTGTGGCCTACCACTTCGCAGCTGAGCCGTTGTTGCTCCTAGACATTTCCACTTCACAATAACAGAACTTACAGTTGACCCGGGAAGCTCTAGCAGGGCAGAAATTTGACAAACTGACTTGTTAGAAAGGTGGCATCCTATGATTGTGCCACGTTGAAAGTCACTGAGCCCTTTAAGTAAGGCCATTCTACTGCCAATGTTTGTCTATGGAGATTGCATGGCTATATGCTCGATTTTATACACCTGTCAGCAACGGGTGGGGCTGAAATAGCCGAATCCACAAATTTGAAGGGGTGTCCACATACTTGTGTGTGTGTATACAGTGGGGGAAAAAAAGTATTTAGTCAGCCACCAATTGTGAAAGTTCTCCCACTTAAAAAGATGAGAGAGGCCTGTAATTTTCATCATAGGTACACGTCAACTATGACAGATAAAATGAGGGGAAAAAATCAAGAAAATCACATTGTAGGATTTTTTATGAATTTATTTGCAAATTATGGTGGAAAATAAGTATTTGGTCAATAACAAAAGTTTCTCAATACTTTGTTATATACACTTTGTTGGCAATGACACAGGTCAAACGTTTTCTGTAAGTCTTCACAAGGTTTTCACACACTGTTGCTGGTATTTTGGCCCATTCCTCCATGCAGATCTCCTCTAGAGCAGTGATGTTTTGGGGCTGACGCTGGGCAACACAGACTTTCAACTCCCTCCAAAGATTTTCTATGGGGTTGAGATCTGGAGACTGGCTAGGCCACTCCAGGACCTTGAAATGCTTCTTACGAAGCCACTCCTTCGTTGCCCGGACGGTGTGTTTGGGATCATTGTCATGCTGAAAGACCCAGCCACGTTTCATCTTCAATGCCCTTGCTGATGGAAGGAGGTTTTCACTCAAAATCTCACGATACATGGCCCCATTCATTCTTTCCTTTACACGGATCAGTCGTCCTTGTCCCTTTGCAGAAAACAGCCCCAAAGCATGATGTTTCCACCCCCATGCTTCACAGTAGGTATGGTGTTCTTTGGATGCAACTCAGCATTCTTTGTCCTCCAAACACGACAAGTTGAGTTTTTACCAAAAAGTTATATTTTGGTTTCATCTGACCATATGACATTCTCCCAATCCTCTTCTGGATCATCCAAATGCACTCTAGCAAACTTCATATGGCCCTGGACATGTACTGGCTTAAGCAGGGGGACACGTCTGGCACTGCAGGATTTGAGTCCCTGGCGGCGTAGTGTGTTACTGATGGTAAGCTTTGTTACTTTGGTCCCAGCTCTCTGCAGGTCATTCACTAGGTCCCCCCGTGTGGTTCTGGGATTTTTGCTCACCGTTCTTGTGATCATTTTGACCCCACGGGGTGAGATCTTGCGTGGAGCCCCAGATCGAGGGAGATTATCAATGGTCTTGTATGTCTTCCATTTCCTAATAATTGCTCCCACAGTTGATTTCTTCAAACCAAGCTGCTTACCTATTGCAGATTCAGTCTTCCCAGCCTGGTGCAGGTCTACAATTTTGTTTCTGGTGTCCTTTGACAGCTCTTTGGTCTTGGCCATAGTGGAGTTTGGAGTGTGACTGTTTGAGGTTGTGAACAGGTGTCTTTTATACTGATAACAAGTTCAAACAGGTGCCATTAATACAGGTAACGAGTGGAGGACAGAGGAGCCTCTTAAAGAAGAAGTTACAGGTCTGTGAGAGCCAGAAATCTTGCTTGTTTGTAGGTGACCAAATACTTATTTTCCACCATAATTTGCAAATAAATTCATTAAAAATCCTACAATGTGATTTTCTGGATTTTTTCTCTCAATTTGTCTCTCAACGTGTACCTATTATGAAAATTACAGGCCTCTCTCATCTTTTTAAGTGGGAGAACTTGCACAATTGGTGGCTGACTAAATACTTTTTCCCCCCACTGTATACAGTGTAGTTAAAAACACTCATACGTGTCAGTTTTGACAGAAGAGGAAGTGTGTCCTGTTCTCTTTTGGTATATGGGGGGTTTCACTCAGTGGCTGCTGTAACTGTCGTTGCTGCAGTCTATTTCTTCTGCATAGTGAACCAAGAACAACAAGGAAGTGAATCTGATTGGCGGGGCGGTGTTGTTATGTGTTACTTGCACCACTAAGGACAGGAGAAACACATTCAGCATTTCAACCGTCCACCAACCTACCACACTGAAGAATGTATATTAAACCACATCATGGGCTAGGCTTCAGGCCTGATTGTATAGTTTTGTACTGTATTTGAATTAGGGTTTTGTAAATTAATTTCTGACTTCTAGAACTGCACGGTACAATACATACTTTATATAGTGAAGATATACTGTGCTGTGGGATCAAGCTAAAACCTTATTCTGTAAGTCATAACCCTGCATCTAACCTCTCTTTCTCTGGCTCTGCCGCACCCTTTCAATTCATTTCACCCTCTTTTCCTCTCTCCCTCCTCTGTCTCTCCCCTTCTCTCTCCGCCCCCTCTCCCCCTCTCTTTCCCTCCCCCCTCTCCCCTCTCTCCCCTCTATCTTCCCCTCTCTTTCTGTCACCCTCTCTTCCCTTCTCTATCCCTCTCCCTCTCTCTCCCTCTCTCCCTACCCCTCTTCGTCCCCATCGCTCTCCCTCCCCCCCCCCCCCCCCCCCCCCCCCCATCTCCTCCTCTCCCACCCCAGAGCTGAGTTCCACCCTGATGGAGAGGATGCAGACCCAGGAGCTGCAGAGCAGTCTACAGCTGCCCGAGCTGGATGAGTTAAGCCAGTTCTTCCGCTCCCTGCCCATCTCCACGCTGGTGGGCATCGGTGCCCTGACCGCCGTGCTGGCCTACTGGCTGGCCACCCGGCCACGTGCCATCTCTCCTCCCTGCAACCTCCAACACCAGTCTGAGGAAGTGGCGGTAAGCCAACGAATCACGATATAATACTCCACCTGGATCTGTATTTGCAAAAATTGTCTCAGAAAAGGAGTGCTGATCTAGGATCAGTTTTGTTTTTTTAGATCATAATTACAGTTTTTCTCGATTGCTAAGACACATTTCTTGAAAGCTGCTCTCCTTTTCTCTTAACTGTTAACACAAAACCCAATTTTCAAGCTACATTCACAAAACCTCAGACTCTTCTTGCAAAACCAAACTTTCACCTCAAAACAGTTCAATCTGTGCTCAAAACTGAACTATGTTGTCAAATCGTGCCCCGAGTCAATCAAAATAAAAAACACTACTGAACAGTCACTAAACACTACGTAGAAAAATAGAAAACACAATGCTCAGGACATGAAGCTGGAGAAATAAATGTTTATTGTTCACTGTAGGCTAAATGCATGTTGCAAAACAATAAAAAACTGTGCATTTAGCACTTGTACAAAAAGACAAAACAGAAATCTTGTGCATTTACATGTAGCACTTGTAAAAACAAACAGAAATCTTATGCGTTTGCCACTTGTGTACAGTAAGCCCATGTAAAAATAAAGTACAAAAATATACAAATAAGTGCATTACTCAGCCACAGCATCATGTCTCCGTACTGGGTCAGGCCACAGGACTTCATCCACATCACAGGCCACATTTTGTCTGGCCAGCCAACGGGGGAAAAACCCCCTGGCATGCCGTATCCAGGCTTGGCATGCCTCCACACCTATGTCACCACAGGCAAGTCCCATGGCTTGCAGGAGATTTACCCTGGTGTAAGGTTGGCGTTCATATACCTTCCACCGCCATGAGGAGAATAATTCCTCAATGGGGTTTAGGAAAGGGGAGTACGGTGGAAGGCAAAGATTGATAAAACCTTGGTTCATATTGTACCACTCTCTAACCTGGAGGGCTCTGTGAAAACTCACATTGTCCCAAACAACAACATAGATGGGATGCTCATCCTGCTGCCCTAACAAAGCATCTCACATGTGATTGAGGAAAATGAGGAGCTGGTGAGTGTTGTAGGGCCCCAGGTTGGCATGATGGTGGACAACCCCATGATTGCTGATGGCAGCACATAATGTGACATTGCCACCACGCTGCCCAGGAACACCAACAATGGCCCGATGGCCAATCACATTACGGCCTCTCCTTCTCCTTTTGGTGAGATTAAACCCAGCTTCATCCATGTAGATGTATTGATGGGGTCTTTCCATTGCATCCAGTTGAAAAACCCTCTGTAGAAATAGATATAGTTTTGTAAGTGATACGGAAAAAGTGATTTAGGCCACTACAGTAAATCACTACTTAGAGTAATCAACATTGAATGTGTCTGGATATATGCCAACCTGTACATACTGGAATCTTTGCTCTTTGACTCTGTCTGAGTTGCGATCAAAGGGCACTCTGTATAGCTGTTTCATGCGCAGTCTGTTGCGCTTGAGGACACGATCAACAGTAGAGAGGCTGACACTGTTGATACCCTCAAAATTTAAATGGTCCTCAATGATCTTCTGCTGAATTTCGCTCAGTTTAATGGCATTGTTCTCACGGACCATATCAACAATTATGGTCTCTTGGTGTGGGGAGAACATACCTGTCCTCCCACCCCCATGTGGCAGTCTTTCAATTCTACAAAAAGAGAACATGGAGTTACAAAAAATATACATGGAATACTAGGCCTACAAACAGTTAGACCAACCCTCCATTACAATACTACAGTACATTGGTACAGTGATGTACTGAAACATATATTTACTTATAGTATACTGTGGTACAGTATATAGTATGTCATACAGTAGTTGCTGTCAACATTTACATACTGTACTATAATGTCAAAAAAAGGTAATTACCTGTTCTCTTCTCTAAATCTTCGGATTATGGTGGACACAGTGAATCTACTGATGTTTGGTTGTACCCTTTGTCCAGCCTCCCTCATGCTCATACCATGGACAAGAACATGGTCAATCACAGTAGCTCTGATTTCATCAGATATTACTGTTCTTTGTCTTCGCTGACCACCTCGACCACCTCGACCTCCTCTCACACGAACTCTTCCCATTGTAGGGCCTCACAAACCAGTGCTCTCTGAACTGGCTTACTGTATATGTTCCCTCACATCATTAGCCACAAGTGTGATCAATTTTGAGTTGTTGTGTTCAAGTGGTGACACCTGTGCTCTAATTGTGTTTGACTTTTGTCACCTGTGCTCACCATTATGCAGCACGGGTGCATCGCAATGAAAATGTGTTGGCAAGTTATGTCTAAACAGGTGAAAAGTGCTTATGGTTTTGCCAAAAGAGTGATTGATTCAATCAGTGGGTTCAGGCAACTGAGCATTTGGTTCAGACAATAGGGTTTAGTGTTTTAGCAATTGAGAAAAACTGTAATAAATACAGGGTGTACCTGATCCTAGAACATTCTGAGATGCTTTTGGGCTGATTCAGACTTAGGAATTTATGCCTTTCCTACGCACTTCTCAGTATTTGGTTTTCAGTCTTACCTTATTCAGTCGTGTAACGCGCTCTGTAGGTGTGGCTACTGGAAACAGGAGACAAAGGGCTGTGAGACATAGGTTTAATCCTAGACACATGAAAAGTGGGATATATAAGGTGGGTACGGGGCAACAGAAGACGAACAGCAGAGGGGCTAAGGATCTTGGAGATGGGGAAAGGGCCGATAAAACGGGGGGAAAGTTTGCAGGACTCCACCCGGAGGGGCAGATCCCGAGTGGAAAGCCATACCCTCTGCCCGAGACGATAGCGGGGTCCGGTGGCAGTCCGCCTGTCGTCGATATCTGGAGGTGGTCTTAAGAAGAGCCGACCGGGCTCTCTTCCAGGGACGACGACAGCGGTGGACGAACATCTGGGCCGAGGGTATGCCGACCTCTTCCTCTTGCTCTGGGAAGAGCGGGGGCTAATATCCCAGGGAACACTCAAAAGGCGAGAGACCAGTGGCACAGCAGGGAAGGGTGTTGCGGGCGTACTCAACCCACACGAGTTGCTGGCTCCAGGTGGTGGGGTTAGCGGAGACAAGTAGCAAAGAGTTGTTTCCAGGTCAGCTGGGAATACTGCCCCTCACGGACTTGCTTCTCAATTCCCCAGCTGAGAGCCGCCGCCAGACACAAGGTGGAGAGGATGGTCTCGGGGTCCGATGGGGTAGCCGTGGGGCTATAGCGGCATGAGAGCGCATCCAGCTTGATATTCTTGGAACCCGGGTGGTAGGAGAGGGAGAAGTTAAATCGGGTGAAAAGCAGGGCCCACCTAGCTTGCCTGGAATCGAGACGCTTGGCAGTGCGGAGATATTCCAGGTTCTTGTGGTCTGTCCACACAATGAATGGATGTTCCGCCCCTTCCAACAATGCCTCCACTCCTCCAATGCCATCTTCACTGCAAGAAGCTCAAGATTCCCCACATTGTAATTCCTCTCCGTGGCGTTAAGACGATGGGTGAAGAAGGTGCAGGGATGCAGTTTGAGGTCCAGGGCAGAATGCTGGGACAGGACAGCCCCTACTCCGACATCCGAAGCGTCGGCCTCCACCACAAACTGACGGGATGGGTCAGGATGAACTAATATGGGAGCTGTGGTGAAGCGATGTTTGAGGTCCTGGAACGCCTGGTCCGCCGCTGGGGACCACTTGAACGGAACCTTGGGAGAGGTGAGTGCAGACAGGGGAGAAGCCAGGGTGCTGTAACCCCGGATGTCCAGCTCGGATGCCATGGTAGCGTCCATAAAACTCTCATCGGCCCCTGAGTCGATGAGTACCTGGAGAGATTTCGACTGGTTCCCCCACAGCAGGGTGGCATGGAGAGGGGTGCGAGTACGGGGAGAGGGAAAGTTCTCTGTATGGCCCACCAGAGTACTCGCCCCTACCGGTGAGCCTGGTCTTTTAGTGAACAGGAGGACACGAAATGACCAGTAGTCCCGCAATACAGACAGCTCTTAGTGTTAAGCCTGCATAAACGTTCGGCTGGAGACAACCTAGCTCTGCATAGTTGCATCGGCTCGGGAAGAGGCGAATCGACAGACTTAGGAAACTCTTGGGGAAACTCGGGTAGCCTCGGATTCTCTCGGAGACTGAGACGTAGGGGACTTCCGGGATGCCTCAGAGGGCGAGGTGGAATCCTTGGGCGGGCGAGTGGAATCGGACCTCCTCTCCTTCCTACGTTCCCGAAGCCACCCATCGATCCAGATAGTCAAGGCGATAAGTGAGTCGAGATCCGTAGGTAGTTCCCGGGCTGCTAGCTCATCCTTAACTTCCTCCGATAACCCGTGCAGGAACGTGTCGAACAGCGATTCCGGGTTCCATGCACTCTCAGCCGCCAACGTGCGGAAATCCACCGCATAGACTGCCACACTGCGGGATTCTTGCCGAAGCTGGAATAGCTTCCGGGCAGCCTCTCTCCCGGACAATGGAGAATCTAAAACCTTCTTCACCACGTCCACGAACTCCTCCAGACTGAAGCACACGGCAGACTGTTGTTCCCACACTGCCGTAGCCCAGGCGAGAGCCCTCCCGGACATCAGCGCTATCTTCGAGCGGTCCGAGGGGAAGGAGGAGGGCTGCAGCTCAAAGATGAGGGAACACTGAGCGATAAACACCCGACAGGTTCCCGACTCTCCAGCAAAGCGTTCCGGTGGAGGTAAGCTGGGTTCTCAGGAAGCCGGGCTGGCCAGGAGAGACGCGCAGTTGACAGCCGGGTTACTGAGGGGCTGGGAGGTTACCGTCGTGGTAGGCTGCCTAACAGACAACCTGCAGAATTGCTCCAGCAATGTATTCAACACGCAGTCATGGCGTTCGGCCAAGGTCTGGAAACACTCCATAAGACCACGCAGCAACTCCTATTGCCTCCCAATGGTGGCTTCTTGGGAGGAGACGGCATTGCGGAGCTGGTCCGAATCTAAAAAAAAGTTAGATATTTGCTGAGTGTTCTCATATCTTTTTTTTACTGTCTTTTTTGCCATTTATGAATGTGTTATTCAATGCGTTTCTCTGGGCTATAGTAGTAAAGGCTAAATTCAATATTTTATAAAATAATGTATTTATATTCACTACCGTTCAAAAGTTTCGGGTCACTTAGAAATGTCCTTGTTTTCCAGGAAAACATACATGAAATGAGTTGAATAGAAGGTTAGAAATAATTATTTTCAATTGAAATAATAATTGTGTCCTTCAAACTTTGCAGCAATTACAGCCTTGCAGACCTTTGGCATTCTAGTTGTCAATTTGTTGAGGTAATCTGAAGAGATTTCACCGGTGACTGTGCTGGCGACTCCATTAAGACAGAATACCAGCTAACTGCTTCTTCCCTAAATAGTTCTTGCATAGTTTGGAGCTGTGCTTTGGGTCATTGTCCTGTTGTAGGAGGAAATTGGCTCCAATCAAGCGCCGTCCACAGGGTATGGCATGGTATTCCAAAATGGAGTGATAGCCTTCCTTCTTCAAGATCCCTTCTACCCTGTACAAATCTCCCACTTTACCACCACCAAGCACCCCCAAACCATCACATTGCCTCCACCATGCTTGACAGATGGCATCAAGCACTCCTCCAGCATCTTTTCATTTGGTCTGCGTCTCACAAATGTTATTCTTTGTGATCCGAACATCTCAAACTTCGATTTGTCTCTCCATAACACTTTTTTCCAATCTTCCTCTGTCCAGTGTCTGTGTTCTTTTGCCCATCTTAATCTTTTATTTTTATTGGCCAGTCTGAGATATGGCTTTTTCTTTGCAACTCTCCCTAGAAGGTCAGCATCCTGGAGTCGCCTCTTCACTGTTGACGTTGAGACTGGTGTTTTGCATGTACTATTTAATGAAGCTGCCAGTTGAGGACCTGTGAGGCGTCTGTTTCTCAAACTAGACACTCTAATGTATTTGTCCTCTTGCTCAGTTGTGCACCGGGGCCTCCCGCTCCTCTTTCTATTCTGGTTAGAGCCAGTTTGCGCTGTTCTGTGAAGGGAGTAGTACACAGCGTTGTACGAGATCTTCAGTTTCTTGGCAATTTCTCGCATGGAATAGCCATTTCTCAGAACAAGAATAGACTGACGAGTTTCAGAAGAAAGTTATTTGTTTCTGGCCATTTTGAGCCTTTAATCGAACCCACAATTGCTGATGCTCCAGATACTCAACTAGTCTCAAGAAGGCCAGTTTTATTGCTTCTTTAATCAGCACAACAGTTTTCAGCTGTGCTAACATAATTGCAAAAAGCTTTTCTAATGATCAATTAGCCTTTTAAAATGATAAACTTGGATTAGCAAACACAACGTGCCATTGGAACACAGGACTGATGGTTGCTGATAATGGGCCTCTGTACACCTATATAGATATTCCGTAAAAAATCTGCAGTTTCCAGCTACAATAGCCATTTACATTAACAATGTCTACACTGTATTTCTGATCAATTTGGTGTTATTTTAATGGACAAAACAATTGCTTTTCTTTCAAAAACAAGGACATTTCTAAGTGACCCCAAACTTTTGAATGGTAGTGTATATATTTCTATACCTAAAAGGGTCCTACAATTCTAAATCAAATAGCTAAATGATCCATAGTATGACCATCTTAAAACAATCCCCCTGTAGCTCAGTTGGTAGAGCATGGCGCTTGCAACGCTAGGGTTGTGGGTTCGTTTCCCATGGGGGGCCAGTATGAAAATGTATGCACTCACTAACTGTAATTCGCTCTGGATAAGAGCGTCTGCTAAATGACTAAAATGTAAATGTCATCTTAGAACCCCAACGGCTTGGACTTTTAAGAATTAACAAGCCTCGTTCACTTAACTTTATGGCCAGCAACTGTTTCAGTCTAAAATGAATTTATTAACAATCATAGACTGACTTAGGTGTCAGAAACCACTCTGGCTTCAATCAGAATAAGGCATAAAGACGGATATTCGGCATGTAAACCAATTTCTCTTTCTGCCCTGAGGCTTCAGTACCCGTTGAAGCATGTATAATAGCTGGCAATTTGCATAATATCAATGATAATAATGGCTCCCATAGCTTAGAGAATAAAGGGTAACAATTTGGATTTCGAATATATATTTGGACTACATTCAGAAATAGCCATGTTGTTATTTTGGTGTGTGTGTGTGTGTGTGTGTGTGTCTATGTGTGTGTCCTAGCCTCACTGTCTGTGTCTATCTCCTCATGTCTGTCTGTCTCTAGCATGAAGATGGGGTTCGCAGGTCCATGCTGGGGGACAGCCCCAATAACCTGCTGACACACTATCACGAGGATGCCAAAACCATGTATGAGGTGTTCCAGAGAGGTCTCCACATAGCCGGTGTGTATACACACACACACACACACACACACACACACACACACACACACACACACACACACACACACACACACACACACACACACACTGGCACTGTGGTCTGAAAAAGTGCTGGTTCACTGTCTGTTTGGTCTATTTGTTTGGTCTGTCTGGTGAGGGAAAAAGTGCTATCTAGATTACAATGGCAACTGAGAACATTGGAAGTAGCATCTGAGGTGAGGCCTAAAGTCAGACTGTAGACAGACTAGACTGTATATACATGTAGAAAGTATCTCTCTATATATGGCTCTAAATAGACTGAATGACTGACTGACTGACTGACTGAATGACTGACTGACTGACTCCAACATAATGCTGAGGACCAACTGTAGTTAGTAGCCAGTAAAGAGATTGCTAAAGAGGAATAGATAGAGGAATAGAGATTATGCATGGTCATAATGAGTGTCAGTCATGTGATCCTTTGGGGGTTTCTGTGTTTTTGTAAATTCACTGACTCGTCCAGTTGTTGTATTGTCTGCAGGTGATGGACCTTGCTTAGGCTCCCGGCTACCCAACAAGCCTTACAAGTGGCTGTCCTATAAAGAGGTAAGCACAGAGTAGAACTACCTCTGTGCAGAACACTGAAGCACAAGAGCAGGTCTCTGCTTTACTCCACAGGCTCTGTGTGGTCTATTCTTTCATAGGGCCAGTGCAATCTATAGCTCTGTGTGTAACTCAGTCCTTGTGGTTTGTATTACGCTTGGTCATGCCATGTGGTTGATCAACAGATGTACAGGCTCAGTTTACAGTCTCCCCTACGTATGCTGCTTCTCAAAAATCTGTAGCAACACAGAGTATTATTTCAAGTTGATTTACACTAAAGCTTTCTGTACCACTGCACTGAACTACTGGACTTTTTAACACACACATTTATTCATGGGTTATGGCTTCCAAACATGATCAAAATGGGAGGGATTTATCTTCTGCATTCTGTTAATGGTATTTTCTCTTCAATGTTACTGAGAGGGATTTATTTAGGAAGCTTATAAACACCTAAGCGTTGGAATGGTGCAGCAGGAAGGATTCTGTATTTACAAAAACACTCCGCTCCATTATTTCATCTATGACATCATGACAGTTGAGGAGAGCATAGCGCATACGAGCTTGTTTGTTAATTTTTAATACTGACATATTTCTTGTTTCACAATACGCTCAGCTGCTGTCCCATTCATGTCCACTTCCAGGTCACAACCCGGGCGGAGTACTTGGGGTCGGGGCTTCTGAGCCAGGGCTGCACACCAAGCCAAGATCAGTTCATCGGAGTGTTTGCACAGAACAGGCCAGAGGTGAGGTCATCGTCACAGCGAGACACTATGTGTGTCTCAAAATGCACCCTATACCCTACATAATGCACTACTTTTGACCAGACCCCTATCAAAAGTAGTGCACTATATAGGGAATATGGTGCCATTTGGGACAAGACACTGATTCACAAATGTTTTGACATGATATAAAGGTTAACAGCTCCAACTACCTTTTGTGGAGGCTTTTTTTTATTTATTGCTCATTATGTCAACGGTGCCCTGGCCTCCTTTTGACCTGTCTGTCTCTAATTGCAGTGGATCATTTCGGAGCTGGCCTGCTACACCTACTCTATGGTGGTGGTGCCTCTGTATGACACACTAGGGCCTGATGCCATACGGTACATCATCAACACTGGTAAGACTAGCAGATTTCAGATTTGTACGTCCAAAATGGCACCCTAATCACCTCTATGGGCCTTGGTCAAATGTAGTGCACGACACAGGTAATAGAGACCCATTTGGGACAGAGCCTTACTGTAAGTGTACTGCTGGCATTAGCGGTGTGATTAGCGGTGCCAATCCAGAATAAAAAGCTATATTACAACCTATGAGTTGTGATAATTGCATTGTTTGCTCTATAACCTGTTAGTTTATATGTGTCATGTTCGTTGAATGACGGGTCAGACCAAGGCGCAGCGTGATATGCGTACATGTTTATTAAACTTTAAACACACGACAAAACAACAAAGGAAACGAAACGTGAAGTCCAAGGTAGAACACACAACATACCTTACAAGGAACAAGATCCCACAACTAGACAGTGCCAATAGGCTGCTTAAGTATGGTCCCCAATCAGAGACAACGAGCGACAGCTGCCTCTGATTGGGAACCACACCGGCCAACATAGATCCACACATACTAGATCGACAACATAGAAAAAGCACAACAAGGAATATACACACCCTGACTCAACATATAAGCGTCCCCTGAGTCAGGGCGTGACAGTACCCCCCCCCCCCCCCCCAAAGGTGCGGACTCCGACCGCACAACATAAACATAACAGGGTAGGGGTCGGGTGGGCATTCCGCCTCGGAGGCGTATCCGGCTCGGGGCGTGACGACCTCTCACTCTCCGCCTCCCTGTTGCGCCCCTGGTCTGGTCTGGACCTCGGCGCGCTGCTTCCCCTCTCCTTCTTCCCACGATACGCCAGGCCCTGTCTGGACCCTGGTGTGGGAGACCCCGAACCTGGAGAGGGGCTGACGTCATGATCTGGACTGGAGCTGCTGACCGGAGCTGGACTGGGCACCGGTGCCTGATCCAGCTTCGGTCAGCGGCTCCACTCCGGAGCCAGAGCAGTCCGCTCCACCGGTGCCTAGTCCAGCTGGAACGGACTGCTCTGGCTACGGAGTGGAGCCGCTGACCGGAGCTGGACTAGACCCCGCTGGAGCGGACTGCTCTGGCTCCGGAGTGGCGCAGCTGACCGGAGCTGGATCAGGCACCGGTGGAGCGGACTGCTCTGGCTCCGGAGTGGAACAACTGACCGGCACTGGATCAGGCACCGGTGGAGCGGACTGCTCTGGCACCGGAGTGGAGCAGCTGACCGGTGCCGGACCAGGCACCGGTGGAACGGGCACGGGCCGTGCCGGACTGGACAAACGCACCACTGGTCTGGTGCGAGGAGCAGGCACGGGCCGGACCGGACTAGGAACACGCACCACTGGCTTGGTGCGAGGGACAGTAACGGGCCGGGCCGGACTGGCGACGCGCACCACTGGCTTGGTGCGAGGAGCAGGAACAGGCCGGGCCGGGCTGGCGATGCGCACCACTGGCTTGGTGCGAGGAGCAGGAACAGGCCGGGCCGGGCTGGCGACACGCACCACTGGCTTGGTGCGAGGAGCAGGAACAGGCCGGGCTGGCGACGCGCACCACTGGCTTGGTGCGAGGAACAGGAACAGGCCGGGCTCGTGACGCGCACCTCTTGCTTGGTGCGAGGAGCAGGAACAGGCCGGGCCGGGCTGGCGACGCGCACCACTGGCTTTGTGCGAGGAGCAGGAACAGGCCGGCCCGGACTTTGGAGGCGGACTGGAGGTCTGGAGCAGAGAGCTGGCACAACCCGTCCTGGCTGAATGCCTACTTCCGCACAGTATGTGTGAGGCATCAGCACAGGACGCACTGGGCTGTGCACGCGCACTGGCGATACAGTTCGTAGAACTGGCGCAGGATATGCGGGACCGAGGAGGCGTACTGGAGACCAGGAGCGTTGAGCCGGCACACCCCGTCCTGGCTGGATGCCCATCTTCGCACGGCACGTGCGTGGTGCAAGCACAGGACGTACAGGACTGTGTCAGCGCACTGGCGACACAGTACGTAGCTCCGCATAACACGGAGCCTGCCCAGTCATACGCTTCATCGCGTGAGTACGGGGAGTTGGCTCTGCTCTGACACTAGGCTCCGCCAACCACCCCGTGTGCCGCCCCAAAAAATGTTCTTGGGGCTGCTTCTCGGGCTTCCTCCTCGACCGGCCTCCTCCGTGTTGCCGTTGCACCTCTCCTGCCTGGGCATCTACCTTAGCCCATGGTCCTCTCCCCGCAAATATCTCTTCCCATGACCACAATTTGCCCACCTGTGACATGGCTATTCGCTTCGCCTGGGCACGCTGCTTGGTCCTCGTTTGGTGGGATCTTCTGTCACGTTCGTTGAATGACGGGTCAGACCAAGGCGCAGCGTGATATGCGTACATGTTTATTAAACTTTAACACACGACAAAACAATAAAGGAAACGAAACGTGAAGTCCAAGGTAGAACACACAACATACCTTACAAGGAACAAGATCCCACAACTAGACAGTGCCAATAGGCTGCTTAAGTATGGTCCCCAATCAGAGACAACGAGCGACAGCTGCCTCTGATTGGGAACAACACCGGCCAACATAGATCCACACATACTAGATCGACAACATAGAAAAAGCACAACAAGGAATATACACACCCTGACTCAACATATAAGCGTCCCCTGAGTCAGGGCGTGACAATATGCCTTGCCATCGTGATATATAGACCTAAGGCGGAGACAATAAGAAGACACAGTGGCAGAATAAATTCAACCAAACCTTTGTTTCATCACAAAACCGGAGATCTGTCCGGTGAAGTCCACAAAACATATTGCATGTAACAAACAGTTACATATGACCTACAGCATGGTCAAGCAAGGTAATGTTTCCGAAATGTTCGGACTACTAAACAACTATTGATTTAGAACAATGGAGAGTTACCGCAAGTCTTAAAGAAAACAGGAGCTGCCTCCACTATTCCAGCACCATTTCAACTTCAACATTTCAACATTATCTAATCAGCTCTGCTTAGTCTAAAACAGTGACAACTAAAAGATATCAAAAACGATTTAGTCCAATCAACGTAACCTAAATATGATGTGGCTGTCCATGGTTCTGATTTCTGTGTGTGTGTGTGTGTGTGTGTGTGTGTGTGTGTGTGTGTGTGTGTGTGTGTGTGTGTGTGAGTGTGTGTGTGTGCAAACAGAAAAAACAGCCAATGCTATCCTCCTCTTTCATGTTGCCTAAATGGTCTATGACTCTGTCATACAGCACATGCTTTTAGTTTTTGTTGTCCTAGGCTACCATGAATACACACCACTGGCTGCGGGAGCTTGTTGTGGGCTGGTGTAATTCTATAACTAGGCGGGGGTTACGCCATACAGGTGTATGCCAACCCACCGAAACCTATTGTGTCGGCACATGCCCTACTTTGCCCCTTCTACAATTTATGCCTTGTTAAAAGTTAATTTGTGGAATTTCTTTCCTTCTTAATGCGTTTGAGCCAATCAGTTGTGTTGTGACAAGGTAGGGGTGGTATACAGAAGACAGCCCTATTTGGTAAAAGACCAAGTCCATATTATGGCAAGAACAGCTCAAATAAGCAAAGAGAAGCGACAGTCCATCATTACTTTAAGACATGAAGGTCAGTCAATACGGAACATTTCAAGAACTTAGAACGTTTATTCAAGTGCAGCCACAAAAACGATCAAGCGCTATGATGAAACTGGCTCTCATGAGGACTGCCACAGGAAAGGAAGACCCAGAGTTACCTCTGCTGCAGAGGATAAGTTCCTTAGAGTTACCAGCCTCAGAAATTACAGCCCAAATAAATACTTCACAGAGTTCAAGTAACAGACACATCTCAACATCAATTGTTCAGAGGAGACGGTGTGAATCAGGCCTTCATGGTCGAATTGCTGCAAAGAAACCACTACTATAGGACACCAGTAAGAAGAAGAGACTTGCTTGGGCCAAGAAACATGAGTAATGGACATTAGACCGGTGGTAATCTGTCCTTTGGTCTGATGAGTCCAAATTTGAGATATTTGGTTCCAACCGCCGTGTCTTGTGAGACGCAGAGTAGGTGAACGGATGATCTCCGCATGTGTGGTTCCCACCGTGAAGCATGGAGGAGGAGGTGTGGTGGTGTGGGGGTGCTTTGCTGGTGACACTGTCTGTGATTTATTTAGAATTCAAGGCACACTTAAGCAGCATGGCTACCACAGCATTCTGCAGCGATACGCCATCCCATCTGGTTTGGGCTTAGTGGGACTATCATTTGTTTTTCAACAGGACAATGACCCAACACACCTCCAGGCTGTGTAAGGGCTATTTGACCAAGAAGGAGAGTGATGGAGTGCTGCCAGATGACCTGGCCTCCACAATCAGCTGACCTCAACCCAATTGAGATGGTTTGGGATGAGTTGGACCGCAGAGTGAAGGAAAAGCAGCCAACAAGTGCTCAGCATATGTGTGAACTCCTTCAAGCCTGTTGGAAAAGCATTCCAGGTGAAGCTGGTTGAGAGAATACCAAGAGTGTGCAAATATAAAATATAATTTGATTTAACACTTCTTTGATTACTACATGATTCCATATGTGTTATTTAATAGTTTTGAAATCTTCACTATTATTCTTCAATGTAGAAAATAGTAAAAAAATGGGTAGGTGTGTCCAAACTTTTGACTGGTACTGTATATTATTATAAATGAATTTTGGGAAACTCAGTCGAGGGTGTGCACATGTGGGTACGCAGACCCGCGAGCAACCCTTTGTGATGAGTTAAGTTTTTTTGTGGCTCCCACCCCTATCAAAGTTGCACATCCCTGCTATACGTCCCTTGTAGCTCAGTTGGTAGAGCATGGCGCTTGCAACGCCAGGGTTGTGGGTTTGTTTCCCACGGGGGGCCAGTATGAAAATGTATGCACTCACTAACTGTAAGTTGCTCTGGATAAGAGCTTCTGGTAAATGTAGATGAAGCTCAAAAACTGAGATGCTCGCCCTTCCCTTCCTGAGCAGTTGTCCTTAGACTAGAGAATTCTGTTTTGTTGTGTTTAAGTCACACAATCCCTTTAACGACACACACACACACACACACAGAGGAATCAGGTTAGGGCTCACCTTCGCCTTATGCTGGAGGTAATGAGCTTAGCTCAGTTGGTTTGGGAGGAAGGGAGCAGGCCTTGAGCTCTCTCTGTCGTTACACTCTCCTCCTTCCCCATGTCCTCAGGGCTTTCCATCCTTCAGTTTGACACTAATCAGTTAACTGACATCAAACTCTCTCATTTTATTCATCATTTCCAACTGCCCCTCAGTGACATAGTGGTTTTGGCCCAGTGTCCCAACAGAATTTGTCTCTGCTCCAAGGCAGTGAAATGGAAATCTGTGTGTAGAGCAGTAGCTGTGTGTTTACTAGCTGATTGGATCATGTATGTGTGTGTGTTCTAGTTTTCACAGCGTGCTGGGCTTTTGTGTGCTGTCTTTCAGCGGACATTGTCACGGTGATCTGTGACAAGCCTGAGAAGGCCCAGGTGCTTCTGGGTAATGTGGAGAGGCAGGAGACCCCTGGGCTGAAAAGGATCATCCTCATGGACCCCTTTGAACCTGCCCTGATGGAGGAGGGGGCGGGCTGCGGGGTCATCGTCCAGTCCTTGCAAGACGTGGAGGTAGGGAGGGTGTAGGGGGGCAGGGGGGATGGGGGAGAGTAGATGTTCGTGGAGAGGGGAGGGAGGGGCCCCAGGTAGGGAGGGAGAGGGGCCTCAGCTCAGCTAATATAATGTAACACATTGTTTTTTTTTTAAAGCCCAACCCTGTCTATACAGAGACCTGTAGCTCAGCTGTGTCCCCTTTCCACTGTATGCAAGCCACACATGACTGATTCTTTGGAGAAGTATGAACAACACTTCAATGGCTCCATGTCTATGTACTCCAAACACTAATGTATGACTGGTGTGTAGGCTACAACTTAATAAAGACTGCAGTATGTACAGTATTTACTGTAATCCATGTACTAGCCCTCTGAGGGCAAGAGATATGCATTATTATCTCTGCAGAACATGATGGAATCTTGAACAGGTCTAGCCTTTCTCACTTCCTTGCTGTAAATTACCATGTCAACGTAAAACAAACATTATGATACAATCAAAAGTTATGGTTAGCTCATACATGTAGGCAAATAAAGAAAGAATGCTTCTGTTACAGTTTATTAAATTAATCTAGCGTAAAACTATGCAAGCATCTCTTTTGTGGGGACATGAGAGTTGTTCAGATATTCAGTCCCCTCCACTTTATTCTGGCTGTGTTTTATGGTTCTTCTAATGATTATCTAAACACAAGATGTTGTGCTTGTTTGCATGCTGCCGTCCCATCCAGGATCTGGGCAGAGCGAACCACAGAAAGCCCCTGGTGAGTGCAGCCTGCATGTCTGGTCTGGTTAGTTGTCTGCGTCTCAAATAGCACCCTATTCCTTACTCAATAGATGCTGCCCAATTCACACCTTATTCCCTATTTAGTGCACTACTTTTGCCCACAGTAAAAGTAGTGCACTAAATAGGGAACACGGTGCCAATTGGACAGCATCCATTGAGTGTTTTGGTGCTAGGGGAGTAAGCAGTTTTGTATCAGTATATGTGTACCACAGCCATATTGTCATAGCCCGTCCAGCTAGGGAAATCATTCATTAGTTGAGCAGAGTTCAAAGCGAGGTCTTCTCTGTAATCTTGTCTGTCTCAGTAAGTCTTGTCTAATCGGCGCATGATGCAACTTTGTGGTTAGGCAGCACAGATCACAAATACATATATTTTGAATAGCCTTGAGATGTAAACAGTCTGTCCCTGTCAGCCACGCTCTGCACAGGCAGAATGCAGGAAGTCCTCAGAGTGGTGCTGACTATGTTTTGTTATGTTTTGGACATATTTTAGACTAGAGATCTCTGGCTCACACGAGCCGAGACAACACAGTAGACATACACACAAACATTCTTTAGCTGTCTGTTACTGTAGTAACCGCTGCTTGAAATGTGTACCGTATTAATATCCCTTTTGATCTCACATAGCACTTTAAGTCTGTGAGTGCTTGTATTCTTGTTTTATGTGACCATCTTCTACAGTCACATATTACTTTAAATGCCTGAGATGGGCTAATGTAATGTTGACTATTATCTAAAGTTGATATCAATGAGTTCATGATCTCATTCTGACTATATCCTGACTGTGCGTTTGTTCCTTACAGCCACCTACACCAGAAGACCTGTCCATCGTGTGCTTCACCAGTGGTACCACAGGTATCTCCATCCAGCCACAAACTATAACACCCCGAAGTGTCTTATTCTTACAAGCTAATCACAGTATTGATGTGTATTAACACAGTAATGTACTATCTTGAGAGTTCATCCACAATCCCTGATTCAAGTCCAACCCTGTCGGTAGTTTTGGTCTGTTTCATGACAACTTTATGAAGTGTGTCTATTGTTTCTCCCATCGTGTGTGACAGATTAACAGGAAGAGGCTTCCCCCTGACCACTTCAGGCCAATGCCAAGTATCAGGGTTGAAATGGTACAGTAATGGTCATGGTAGGGCCCCTAACAGTGAGACTTCAGAGGGAAAGGTAGTTACAGGTTTTTTTCTGCATCAAAAAGGGGCTTAGGTGGTGGGCGTGGCAGGGGGGCGTGGCAATGGACGCGGTCGGCCCGTCGGCACAGCTGAATATTACAGAACATTTTTTGCATTGAAGCGAATTTCCTGAAATTATACACATTTCTCTATGGAACTGAGAGAAATTTTTCGTTTTTAAAGAACATTTTGTGTGATTCTACATTTTCTGCCATGGTGCCGAGAGAAAATCAATACAGCTAAATTCATTGGGTAACACTAAGTTACCCCTATTACTATGCAACTACACAATAATAACTGCAGTAACAATATAGTGGTTACATACAGTAGGTGTTACTATGTAATTACATGGTAATTAGGTTGTAACGCTATCAGATATTACAGAATTTCTTGTTCCACTTTGTAACTAATAATTTGTAATTACACGTTTGAAAGTCACCTGTGAATTACCATGTCAATAACTCAAACCAAAATCTGTCCTTGTTACATGAAACTACAAGGTGCCACTACCATTGAATCCACATGTAATACCAGGATTGATAAATAGGCTTGGACCTGGTAACAACAATTGTAACACGGCACACCCTGTCATTAACTGCTGGTCATATTCAATTAGTTTATTTCTATGTTATGACCTGGCTCAAAGGTCTAATATAATAACAATGGATATACTTGTAATTGTCATGTACCTACCCAGGAGCAAGCAACTTAATGTAAAGTGAAACCCAGTAGGGTATAACCTTTATAATTACTATCTAGTTACAATGTAACAACCTAATTGTTTTGGTAATTTTATTACGGTCTGGCCACAAATACAGTCATATAGACATGTAGAAACCCCCGGTATTTCCAGACATGTAACCACAGCTTTAGTCACAAGTGGCAAAGCAGCCCACTGCAGTAGTAGAAAGAGTGCCACCTGTTGGTCTTTCAGTGTAACTTCCATCAGCCTGAAGCATGTTTACCCCTGGTGCCCTTATTACACGCCTGCCCTGAGGCCTATCTAAACTCCTGTCTCTCTGAGTGTGTGTGTGTTACAAAGGCTGTTACAGGGTGATTCAACTCAGGTTGCTCCCACTATGGCAAAGCAAAATGTTCATGTGTAGCCTGAAAAACAAGTGGCACAATGATCATTCTGTTAGTTCCTAGGCTGCTAACTTGTTTTTCCATATATATATCTAACCTTGTTGTTTTCCATCGTTTGATACTGGATGGGTCCCAAATGGAAACCCTTTTCCATATATAGTCCACTACCTTTGACCATAGCCCTAAGTATTGCACTATAAGGGATTAGGGTGCCATTTGGGACGGAGACAATGCTATCCATTGTTGAGAGCAGGTGGAGGAGGAGAAGTCCATTGATTTTGTTGCACTGTTTTCTGTCCCTCTCCTACATAGGAAACCCAAAGGGAGTTATGCTGACACACGGGAATGTTGTGGCTGATTTCTCAGGCTTCCTCAAAGTGACAGATGTAAGTTCAATCGGACTATGTGTAACTGACCATTTCTGTGGAGAAATTTCCCTTGTACAGTATTTATCTTGAGTAGGTGCTTTTCTCCCATTTATGTAACTATATTAAGTGCAAGACTCACTAAATTGCTTAAAGTCCCATATCTTACATGGGACAATAACAAGACTGAAATGTACAATGCACAAATGTATTTGTTTTTGTGAGCTCGTGTATCATTTCTGTTTCTCATTAAGATAACTCTTATGATAAAAATATGAGCACCTCCTCCCAACTGCCCACTGCACTGAGGCTAGGAAACACTGTCAACACCGATAAATCTACAATAATCGAGAATTTCAGCAAGCATTTTGCTACGGCTGGCCATGCTTTCCACCTGGCTACCACTACCCCGGCCACCAGCTCTGCACCCTCCGATGCAACTTGCCCATGCCCCCCAACCCCCCGCTTCTCCTTCACACAAATTCAGACAGCTGATGTTCTGAAAGAGCTGAAAAATCTGGACCCCTACAAATCAGCTGGGCTAGACAATCTGGACCCTTTCGTTCTAAAATTAGCAGCCGAAATTGTCGCAATCCCTATTTCTAGCCTGTTCAACCTCTCTTTCGTAACATCTGAGATCCCCAGAGATTGGAAAGCTGCCGCGGTCATCCCCCTCTTCAAAGGGGGTGACACTCTAGATCCAAACTGTTACAGACCTATATCCATCCTGCCCTGCCTTTCGAAAGTATTTGAAAGCCAAGTTAACAAACAGATCACCGACCATTTCGAATCCCACCGTACCTTCTCCGCTATGCAATCCGGTTTCTGAGCTGGTCATGGGTGCACCTCAGCCACGCTCAAGGTCCTAAACGATATTATAACCGCCATCGATAAAAGACAGTACTGCTCAGCCGTCTTCATCGACCTGGCCAAGGCTTTCGACTCTGTCAACCACCGCATTCTTATTGGCAGACTAAATAGTATTGGTTTCTCTAATGACTGCCTCGCCTGGTTCACCAACTACTTCTCAGATAGAGTTCAATGTGTCAAATCGGAGGGCCTGTTGTCTGGACCTCTGGCCGTCTCTATGGGGGTGCCACAGGGTTCAATTCTCGGGCCGACTCTATTCTCTGTGTATATCAGTGATGTTGCTCTTGCTGCTGGTGAAACTCGGATCCACCTCTATGCGGACGACACCATTTTGTATACATCTGGCCCTTCATTGGACACTGTGTTAACAAACCTCCAAACGAGCTTCAATGCCATACAACACTCCTTCCGTAGCCTCAACTGCTCTTAAACGCTAGTAAAACTAAATGCATGCTCTTCAACCGAACGCTGCTGGCACCCGCCCACCCGACTAGAATCACTACTCTCGGCGGGTCTGACCTAGAGTATGTGGACAACTACAAATACCTAGGTGTCTGGTTAGACTGTAAACTCTCCTTCCAGACTCACATTAAGCATCTCCAATCAAAAGTTAGATCTAGAATCGGCTTCCTATTTCGCAACAAAGCCTCCTTCACTCATGCTGCCAAACATGCCCTCGTAAAACTGACTATCCTACCGATCCTTGACTTCGGCGATGTCATTTACAAAATAGCCTCCAACACTCTACTCAGCAAATTGGATGTAGTCTATCACAGTGCCATCCATTTTGTCACTAAAGCCCCATATACTACCCACCATTGTGACCTGTACGCTCTTGTTGGCTGGCCCTCACTACATATTCATCGCCAAACCCACTGGCTCCAGGTCATCTATAAATCACTGCTAGGCAAATCCCTGTCTTACCTTAGCTCACTGGTCACCATAGCAACACCCACCCGTAGTCTGCGCTCCAGCAGGTATATCTCACTGGTCATCCCCAAAGCCAACACCTCCTTTGGCCGCCATTCCTTCCAGTTCTCTGCTGCCAATGACTGGAACGAACTGTAAAAATCTCTGAAGCTGGAGACACTTATCTCCCTCACTAAATGTAAGCGTCAGTTGTCAGAACAGCTTACCGATCACTGCACCTGTACACAGCCATTCTGAAATTAGCCCACCCAACTACCTCATCCCCATATTGTTATTTATTTTGCTAATTTGCACCCCAGTATCTCTATTTGCACATCATCTTTTGCACATCTATCATTCCAGTGTTAATACAAAATTGTAACTATTTTGCACTATGGCCTATTTATTGCCTTACCTCCATAACTTACTACATTCGCACACACTGTATATATATTTTCTGTTTGTATTTTTGACTTTATGTTTTGTTTACCCCATATGTAACTCTGTGTTGTTGTTTTTATTGCACTGCTTTGCTTTATCTTGGCCAGGTCACAGTTGTAAATGAGAACTTGTTCTCAACTGGCTTACCTGGTTAAATAAAGGTTAAATAAAATAAAATAAAAAATAAGAGCATGTTTGACAGTTGAGTGGTGGGAAACAAACCCCACTGGGCACAGACGTCAATTCAACGTCTATTTCGCATTGGTTCAATGTAATTTCGTTGAAATTATGTGGAAACAATGTTAATTCAACCGGTGTGTACCCGAAGGGACGGTTCTAATCCCCTATCTAACCACTGTTTCTCTCCCCCATGCCACAGAAAGTCATATTCCCAAACCAAGATGACGTTCTTATCTCCTTCCTGCCTCTGGCTCACATGTTTGAGAGACTCATCGAGGTAATGTCCCAAACAAAGCCCACACTAAGCTTTCATCTGTATAATTGTTGGTGTGGGCGTGTGCTTGCTCCTCTTTGTGTGTTTGTGTGTGTGTGTGTGTGTGTGTGTGTGTATGTGTGTGTGTGTGTGTGTACGCATGTACATGTGTTTCCAGACATGAATGATCTTGGCGATTGCCCTTGTCCTTGGCTGTTATTGACCTGGTTATCTGTGATTGGATTTCATTGTGACATATCAAATCAGCTGTTTTATTGAAACAATATCTGCTTCCACTGGATAAGCTGGCTCATACAGTCATGGGTGTGCATTATTTCAGCCAGTTCTAACAGCTTCGCCCCCACAGGAAACTTGTGGGGGCCGTTAACCCCCCCATGCCGCCTCTAGCTTGGGGTGCATCCTAAATAGCTTCCTATCCCCTATATAGCGCACTACTTTCGACCAGTGCGGTATGGGACCTGGTCAAAAGTAGTGCACTACAAAGGGAATAGGGTGCCATTTAGAACGCAGCCTTGGTCTATTGTTTCCGATACCGGTTCCACAGCTCGTGTTTTCAGTCCCTAACTACTGATTTTGGATCAGTCATAAACGACCCTATTCTTTTGAATAACTACTATGAGTAAAACAACAAAGCTGTCACTGGACCTGCTTCAGTACTGAGGGGGTAAAGCAACCATACAGGTTCAACCGACCTTCTTGTTTTGCCACACGGCAGTATGTGTTTTTTCTTTGTCAGTGTGTGAGACACAGACACAGGAAACCACCTCTCTTCCCCTCCAACACAAGCAGGCACATACTTCACGTTCACAAGAATACACACACACAGATACTGTTAATGCATGTGACTTCTACGTAAATATGTAAATGCCTATAAATTAATCCCCGAAAGGAACAGCTCATGTTCTCCGTGTAGAACTCTGTGAATAGGCTATGCCACATACAGTAAGTATTATGGTCCCTGCCAGGGTGTTCCAATCTATTATGCAAATCATGTCTGTCAACACATGAAATAAAAAAAGACAGTTCCTGCAGAGCCTGTCCTCATCATGCCCTCCAAAACAGGAACTGGGGGTGAATCGTGGTGCTTTCAAGAGAACTCAGAAACTCGGAACCTATTGGTCAATTCTGATATTTTGCAAGTGGGAAACTCAGAGCTCGAGTTTCCAAGTGGACATTTCGGGGTTTCCGAGTTTCGAGTTGTCTTGAAAGCGACATTAGGCCAGATCTATGCAACTGTATGCATAAGTGCTTTTTGACTCAGTTGTCACTGTTATGTTATTTCTCTCTGTTTCCCAAGTCTGTGGTGTATTGTCATGGTGGCAGGATCGGTTTCTTCCAAGGCGATATCCGCCTGCTGCCTGATGACATGAAGGCCTTACGGCCCACCATCTTCCCTGTGGTACCTCGACTGCTCAACCGCATGTATGACAAGGTGAGAGAACCACCCCTCTACCCCCCCCCCCCCCCCCCCCTCCCCCCCACACACACACACACACCTCCTCATTCTCCATATCTTATATCATCTCACCCCCTCTCTTGACTGTCTGTGTGTACTCTACAGATATTCAGCCAGGCCAACACACCATTGAAGCGTTGGCTGCTGAACTTTGCAGCTAAGAGAAAAGGGGCAGAGGTCAGCAGTGGGATCATCCGCATGGACAGCCTGTGGGATAAGATATTCTTCAGTAAGATACAGGTATCCACCTCCCCTCCTCTTCTTCTACACTCCTCCTCTTCTCCTCTCCCTCCTGCCTATGAGTGGCCTGATACGGCGGATGGATGGATGGATGTATATATCGATGGATGGATGGATGGATCTGAGCTGTGTCTGTACAGGCAATAAAATGGGAATATGCACTGTGTGACCCGTGGCAGTGTTGCTAGGCAGGCAGGATGCATTGTGTTTCAACAACACAGACTGCATTCCTGTTGTGTTGTGGGAGTTTGGGTTGTGTAATAGTCTTGTGTTCCTTTGCAGGCCAGCCTGGGTGGGAGGCTACGCATGATTGTAACTGGAGCTGCTCCGGCCTCCCCCACTGTACTGGGGTTTCTCAGGGCTGCACTGGGTTGTCAGGCAAGGGACACAAACACACACACACACACACACACACACATGCCTGCATAAACACACACACGCAGCTGCATGCATAAGCATACACATGCACGCACACACACACACACGCACGTGTGTTGACAAAGAAACAAACACATGCAGACACAAACTCACATGGACATGAGTGCACACAGACAAACCATCAGGCTGATCATATCACATCCTGCTAACATCCTATCTGTCCTGGCTGTTTGTAGGTGTATGAGGCATATGGCCAGACAGAGTGTACTGCTGGCTGTACTTTCACCACTCCTGGAGACTGGACCTCAGGTGACCTTATCTCTCCTCTCCTCTCCTCTCCTCTTTTCTCCTCTCCTGTTCTCTCCTCTTCTCTTCAACCTGTCAACAGCTGTTCCACTCCCAGTACACCCAAGTAGTGCACTATATATAGAGAGCAGTTTGGGACGCACTCCTACAGTAGGCCAGGGAGCAAGAGTGCCTTTATGACATCTGAGTACAGTCAGTTCTAGTCCATGCCTGTTTACAGTTTTTCTCGATTGCTAAGACACATTTCTTGAAAGCTTCTCTCCTTTTCTCTTAACTGTGAACACAAAACCCAATTTTCAAGCTACATTCACAAAACCTCAGACTCTTCTTGCAAAACCAAACTTTCACCTCAAAACAGTTCAATCTGTGCTCAAAACTGAACTATGTTGTCAAATCGTGCCCCGAGTCAATCAAAATAAAAAACACTACTGAACAGTCACTAAACACTACGTAGAAAAATAGAAAACACAATGCTCAGGACATGAAGCTGGAGAAATAAATGTTTATTGTTCACTGTAGGCTAAATGCATGTTGCAAAACAAAAAAAAAACTGTGCATTTAGCACTTGTACAAAAAGACAAAACAGAAATATTGTGCATTTACATGTAGCACTTGTAAAAACAAACAGAAATCTTATGCGTTTGCCACTTGTGTACAGTAAGCCCATGTAAAAATAAAGTACAAAAATATACAAATAAGTGCATTACTCAGCCACAGCATCATGTCTCCGTACTGGGTCAGGCCATAGGACTTCATCCACATCACAGGCCACATTTTGTCTGGCCAGGCAACGGGGGAAAAAACCCCTGGCATGCCGTATCCAGGCTTGGCATGCCTCCACACCTATGTCACCACAGGCAAGTCCCATGGCTTGCAGGAGATTTACCCTGGTGTAAGGTTGGCATTCATATACCTTCCACCGCCATGAGGAGAATAATTCCTCAATGGGGTTTAGGAAAGGGGAGTACTCTCTCTCTTTCAGTGTTACCCAACGCTTAGGTTTACCTCCACTTTACTCATGTCCTTCCATATCCTTGTCTGTACATAATGCCCTGAATCTTTTCTACAATGCCCGGAGAACTGCCCCCTTTATTCTCTGTACCCAACGCACTAGAAGACCAGTTCTTAAAGCCTTTAGCCGTATCCTTATTCTAATCCTCCTCTGTTCCTCTGGTGATGTAGAGGCTAACCCAGGCCCTGCAGCCCTCAGTATCACTCCTACACCCCAGGAGCTATCATTTGTTGACTTCTGTAATCGCAAAAGTCTTGGTTTCTTGCACATAAATATCAGAAGTCTACTTCCTAAGTTTGAGTTATTCACTGCGTTAGCACACTCTGCCAACCCTGATGTTCTAGCAGTGTCTGAATCCTGGCTCAGGAAGGCCACCAAAAATTCTGAAATTTCCATCCCCAACTACAACATTTTCCGTCTAGATAGAACTGCCAAAGGGGGTGGAGTTGCAATCTACTGTAGAGATAGCCTGCAGAGCTCTATCATACTATCCAGGTCTGTGCCCAAACAGTTTGAGCTTCTACTTCTAAAAATCCACCTTTCCAGAAATAAGTCTCTCACTGTTGCCGCTTGCTACAGACCCCCCTCAGCCCCCAGCTGTGCCCTGGACACCATATGTGAACTGATTGCCCCCCATTTATCCTCTGAGTTTGTACTGCTTGGTGACCTAAATTGGGATATGCTTAATACCCCAGCCATCCTACAATCCAAGCTAGATGCCCTCAACCTCACGCAAATTATCAACGAACCTACCAGGTACAACCCTAAATCCTTAAACATAGGTACCCTCATAGATATCATCCTGACTAACATACCCTCTAAATACACCTCAGCTGTCTTCAACCAGGATCTCAGCGATCACTGCCTTATTGCCTGCGTCCGTAACGGGTCCGCGGTCAAACAACCACCCCTCATCACTGTCAAACGCTCCCTAAAACACTTTAGCGAGGAGGCCTTCCTAATTGACCTGGCCCAGGTATCCTGGATGGATATAGATCTCATTCCGTCAGTAGAGGATGCCTGGTTGTTCCTTAAAAGTAATTTCCTCTCAATCTTAAATAAACATGCCCCTTTCAAAAAATACAGAACTAAGAACCGATATAGCCCCTGGTTCTCCTCAGACTTGACTGCCCTTGACCAGCACAAAAACATCCTGTGGCGTACAGCATTAGCATCAAATAGCCCCCGCGATATGCAACTTTTCAGGGAAGTTAGGAACCAATATACACAAGCAGTCAGGAAAGCAAAGGCTAACTTTTTCAAACAGAAATTTGCATCCTGTAGCACTAACTCCAAAAAGTTTTGGGACACTGTAAAGTCCATGGAGAATAAGAGCACTTCCTCCCAGCTGCCCACTGCACTGAGGCTAGGAAACACTATCACCACCGATAAATCTACAATAATCGAGAATTTCAACAAGCATTTTGCTACAGCTGGCCATGCTTTCCATCTGGCTACCACTAACCCGGCCACCAACTCTGCACCCTCTGCTGCAACTTGCCCATGCCCACCCCGCTTCTCCTTCACACAAATTCAGACAGCTGATGTTTTGAAAGCGCTGCAAAATCTGGACCCCTACAAATCAGCTGGGCTAGACAATCTGGACCCTTTCTTCCTAAAACTAGCCGCCGAAATTGTCGCAACCGCTATTACTAGTCTGTTCAACCTCTCTTTCATAACGTCTGAGATCCCCAGAGATTGGAAAGCTGCCGCGGTCATCCCCCTCTTCAAAGGGGGTGACACTCTAGATCCAAACTGCTACAGACCTATATCCATCCTGCCCTGCCTTTCGAAAGTTTTCGAAAGCCAAGTTAATAAACAGATCATCGACCATTTCGAATACCACCGTACCTTCTCCGCTATGCAATCTGGTTTCCGAGCTGGTCACGGGTGCACTTCAGCCACGCTCAAGGTCCTAAACGATATTATAACCGCGATTGATAATAGACAGTACTGTGCAGCCGTCTTCATCGACCTGGCCAAGGCTTTCGACTCTGTCAACCACCGCATTCTTATTGGCAGACTAAATAGCCTTGGTTTCTCAAATGACTGCCTCGCCTGGTTCACCAACTACTTCTCAGATAGAGTTCAGTGTGTCAAATCGGAGGGCCTGTTGTCTGGACCTATGGCAGTCTCTATGGGGGTGCCACAGGGTTCAATTCTTGGGCCGACACTTTTCTCCGTGTATATCAATGATGTCGCTCTTGCTGCTGGTGACTCTCAGATCCACCTCTACGCAGACGACACCATTTTGTATACATCTGGCCCTTCATTGGACACTGTGTTAACAAACCTCCAAACAAGCTTCAATGCCATACAACAATCCTTCAGTAGCCTTCAACTGCTCTTAAACACTAGTAAAACTAAATGCATGCTTTTCAATCGAACGCTGCTAGCACCCGCCCACCCGACTAGAATCACCACTCTCGACGGGTCTGACCTAGAGTATGTGGACAACTACAAATACCTAGGTGTCTGGTTAGACTGTAAACTCAACTTCCAGACTCACATAAAGAATCTCCAATCCAAAGTTAAATCTAGGATCGGCTTCCTATTTCGCAACAAAGCCTCCTTCACTCATGCTGCCAAACATGCCCTCGTAAAACTGACTATCCTACCGATCCTTGACTTCGGCGATGTCATTTATAAAATAGCCTCCAACACTCTACTCAGCAAATTGGATGTAGTCTATCACAGTGCCATCCGTTTTGTCTCCAAAGCCCCATACACTACCCACCACTGTGACCTGTACGCTCTTGTTGGCTGGTCCTCACTACATGTTCGTCGTCAAACCCACTGGCTCCAGGCCATCTATAAATCACTGCTAGGCAAATCCCCGCCTTATCTTAGCTCATTGGTCACCATAGCAGCACCCACCCGTAGTCTGCGCTCCAGCAGGTATATCTCACTGGTCATTCCCAAAGCCAACACCTCCTTTGGCCGCCATTCCTTCCAGTTCTCTGCTGCCAATGACTGGAACGAATTGCAAAAATCTCTGAAGCTGGAGACTCTTATCTCCCTCAATAACTTTAAGCATCAGTTGTCAGAGCACCTTACCGATCACTGCACCTGTACACAGCCCATCTGAAATTAGCCCACCCAACTACCTCATCCCTATATTGTTATTTAATTTGCTCTTTTGCACCCCATTATCTCTATTTGCACATAATCTCTTGCACATCTAGCATTCCAGTGTTAATACTATTGTAATTATTCTGCACTACAGCCTATTTATTGCCTTACCTCCATAACTTGCTACATTTGCACACACTGTATATATATTTTCTGTTGTATCTCTGACTTTATGTTTATTTTTTTTTACCCCATATGTAACTCTGTGTTGTTTTTTGTTGCACTACTTTGCTTTGTCTTGGCCAGGTCACAGTTGTAAATGAGAACCTGTTCTCAACTGGTTTACCTGGTTAAATAAAGGTGAAATAAAATAAAATAAAGTACGGTGGAAGGCAAAGATTGATAAAACCTTGGTTCATATTGTACCACTCTCTAACCTGGAGGGCTCTGTGAAAACTCACATTGTCCCAAACAACAACATAGATGGGATGCTCATCCTGCTGCCCTAACAAAGCATCTCGCATGTGATTGAGGAAAATGAGGAGCTGGTGAGTGTTGTAGGGCCCCAGGTTGGCATGATGGTGGACAACCCCATGATTGCTGATGGCAGCACATAATGTGACATTGCCACCACGCTGCCCAGGAACACCAACAATGGCCCGATGGCCAATCACATTACGGCCTCTCCTTCTCCTTTTGGTGAGATTAAACCCAGCTTCATCCATGTAGATGTATTGATGGGGTCTTTCCATTGCATCCAGTTGAAAAACCCTCTGTAGAAATAGATATAGTTTTGTAAGTGATACGGAAAAAGTGATTTAGGCCACTACAGTAAATCACTACTTAGAGTAATCAACATTGAATGTGTCTGGATATATGCCAACCTGTACATACTGGAATCTTTGCTCTTTGACTCTGTCTGAGTTGCGATCAAAGGGCACTCTGTATAGCTGTTTCATGCGCAGTCTGTTGCGCTTGAGGACACGATCAACAGTAGAGAGGCTGACACTGTTGATACCCTCAAAATTTAAATGGTCCTCAATGATCTTCTGCTGAATTTCGCTCAGTTTAATGGCATTGTTCTCACGGACCATATCAACAATTATGGTCTCTTGGTGTGGGGAGAACATACCTGTCCTCCCACCCCCATGTGGCAGTCTTTCAATTCTACAAAAAGAGAACATGGAGTTACAAAAAATATACATGGAATACTAGGCCTACAAACAGTTAGACCAACCCTCCATTACAATACTACAGTACATTGGTACAGTGATGTACTGAAACATATATTTACATACAGTATACTGTGGTACAGTATATAGTATGTCATACAGTAATTGCTGTCAACATTTACATACTGTACTATAATGTCAAAAAAAGGTAATTACCTGTTCTCTTCTCTAAATCTTCGGATTATGGTGGACACAGTGAATCTACTGATGTTTGGTTGTACCCTTTGTGTGGTACAGTATATAGTATGTCATACAGTAATTGCTGTCAACATTTACATACTGTACTATAATGTCAAAAAAAGGTAATTACCTGTTCTCTTCTCTAAATCTTCGGATTATGGTGGACACAGTGAATCTACTGATGTTTGGTTGTACCCTTTGTCCAGCCTCCCTCATGCTCATACCATGGACAAGAACATGGTCAATCATAGTAGCTCTGATTTCATCAGATATTACTGTTCTTTGTCTTCGCTGACCACCTCGACCACCTCGACCTCCTCTCACACGAACTCTTCCTCTCAGATTTCTATCCATTGTAGGGCCTCACAAACCAGTGCTCTCTGAACTGGCTTACTGTATATGTTCCCTCACATCATTAGCCACAAGTGTGATCAATTTTGAGTTGTTGTGTTCAAGTGGTGACACCTGTGCTCTAATTGTGTTTGACTTTTGTCACCTGTGCTCACCATTATGCAGCACGGGTGCATCACAATGAAAATGTGTTGGCAAGTTATGTCTAAACAGGTGAAAAGTGCTTATGGTTTTGCCAAAAGAGTGATTGATTCAATCAGTGGGTTCAGGCAACTGAGCATTTGGTTCAGACAATAGGGTTTAGTGTTTTAGCAATTGAGAAAAACTGTAAAAGCCTTATACTTCACCACTGGGGTGAAAGTCTCAGAGGTTTTACAACGGTGGAAACACAAGCACACAGAGATAACACGCTGTGTGTTGGGGAAACATTATAGTGTGACTGACTGTAGCTGCTGCTGCTGACTGATGCCAATATCAACAAGGCCCTCCATGTCCTGAGGAGATGGGGTTATGAGTCAGGATCACATACTTTCAGCGGAAGCACCGACGCAACACGTAATATACAGCTGAAGCGAACTCCTTCCTCCACCGCACGTAAGTGCTTTCAGCTTCAGACTCACACAAACAAACACAGGCTTTGAGGTTCTCACTGTTTTTAGCTCTGTGGCTTCCGGCTGGCTGCAGGTGTCACGGCCACAACCATTTCCCCTCTGTAATGTGTGATAACAGGGGCAACTGGTCGGGAGGCCTAATTACAGTTAGGTCAAAGACCTGTGGATCGCAGACAGTATTTACCCACGTACTGTGCTGTGGTACAACACGTTGGCAGTTTCGGTATGACAACCCAACCATGCAACAGACACTTTATTGTCTCTGTGAAACAGCCATGGCCAAAGGTTACACTGGTAATATATTGAGCTGCAGTACATTTGAATGGATGCTATAGTAGCTGTAACACCTGAACCACCTATCAACCCATTGAACCATCGTTTGCGTCCCAAATGGCACCCTATTCCCTATATAAGAGCCCTATGGGCCCAGGTCAAAAGCAGTGCACCATATAAGGAATTGGGTGTAATTTGGAATACAGCCATGATCTCCTGTCTGCCTAGTAATGTCATTACTTATTACATATTATTTAATGATGCAGACTTTGCAAGGTCTAGCAAAAGTTTCTAGTCCAAGGACCACTCAAAACCCGCCCGCAAGGCCTGAAAACGTTGTTGTTTTTTCAGCAAGAGGAGTTGCCAAATAGGTGTCTCCATAATGACAATCTAGGTTGACTGAGTTTTATTTCTCATTTACAGCAACAACCTGGTAAATATTTACAGGGGAGAGGAGGGTGGATGAATGAGCCAATTGGAAGCTGGGGATGATTAGGTGGACATATTGGGAATTTAGCCAGGACACCAGGCTTAACACACCTACTCTTACATTAAGCGCCATAGGATCTTTAGTGACCACAGACAGTCAGGAAACCCATTTAATATCCCATCCGAAAAACAGCACCCTACACAGGGCAATGTCCCCAATCACTGCCCTGAGGGATTGGATTTTTGTTTTTGACCAGATGAAAGAGTGCCTCCTATTGGCCCTCCATCACCACTTCCAGCAGCATCTGGTTTCCCATCCAGGACCAACCCTGCTTAGCTTCAGAAGCAAGCCAGCAGTGGGATGCAGGGTGGTATGCTGCAGGGTGGTATGCTGCAGGATGGTATGCTGCAGGATGGTATGCTGCAGGGTGGTATGCTGCAGGATGGTATGCTGCAGGGTGGTATGCTGCAGGGTGGTATGCTGCAGGATGGTATGCTGCAGGGTGGTATGCTGCAGGGTGGTATGCTGCAGGATGGTATGCTGCAGGGTGGTATGCTGCAGGGTGGTATGCTGCAGGGTGGTATGCTGCAGGGTGGTATACTGCAGGGTGGTATTGCTTACATAAAAAATGTTTTTGTGTGATCTTGATCAAGGGATCGTAAGCTACTCTGGACTTATATAGGCCCTGTGCATTATACTCCTCTGCACTATAAATACATATGGAACTAGTGCTGTTATTCGTTTGTTGTTCTCACAATACTTGTCATGACGTGCACATGTGCTGCTCTCCCTCACCCACGTGACTCAGCTGCCTGCTGCCTGCTGCAGCCTCTCTCAACACAAGGCCCTCCCCCTCCATCAATACCACTCACTCACTCAGCAACCGACTGCCCCACTACCTGATTATCAGTAGCAGCAGGTCACAGTGAAATAAATAGATTCAAAAAGATATATGATAATCCCATGGCAGCGGCGGTACAATTTAGAAGTAGCCCAAAAACCCGCGACCAATACATTTTCACCCGCGACATTGTTTTCAAAGTAGTTAAATTGGCAGGAAAAACGTGGACATGGCAACCCTGATCAGTACACTCTCTTAATAAGGCACTGTGCTCTTACAGTACCTGGGCAGTGGGGCAGCCCACTTTTAGTTTGGCAACAGACACAACTGAATGTGTGTGGATGACATTCAGGGGTCTCAGTGGGGAATAACAATTTCAGATCTTCACACACCCTATAATTGGAAAATATTATCCAACTGCTCCCCCTACTGGTTTGATTCTATATTTTCGTATTTTCAGCTTCACTTTGCTGCTTGGCTTGATACTGTATAAATGCATCATTTTTGGTGGCAGCCAATTTACTATGTAATGACTTCAGTCAAACAAATTAAGACATGACTTCACAGCTGTCTGTACACTCGATTTGTTTCTAATACTTCTCCTTGGTTTGATGACTAACTCTAGGTCATGTTGGGGCACCATTGCCATGTAACCTCATCAAGCTGGTGGATGTGGCTGAGAAGAACTACTTTGCATGCAAGGGAGAAGGAGAGGTGAGTTCAATAAATCATCATGGATATTTTAGGATAATCCCTATTTGAACAGGGCCATAGACAATTGATCACTGAGGCTATGTAAACATTGGTCAATGTGATAGTTGGGTGCTGAACACATTCTCTTTCATTCTCACTCTGTGGCTGTCTCCCTCTCGCTGATCATCCATTAGGTGTGTGTGAAAGGACCCAATGTTTTCAAGGGCTATCTCAAAGACCCTGAGAGGACTGCTGAAACCCTGGACACAGACGGTTGGCTCCACACCGGAGACATAGGGAAATGGTTACCTGTTCGTACACATGCTTGTTTATGACCCTTCCCTTGAAAATACCTTTCCTCAAACATCTATTTGCCTTCCTTGTGTTATGTACCCTCAATATTAGGGCCAAATCCTAACTTGACATTCACAAGTATCTCAATTAAAATGTAAGGTATGAGCATATTTTTGACGTCTGCCCTCCTCTCCTCTCCTCAGAATGGTACACTAAAGATCATTGACAGGAAGAAGCACATCTTTAAGCTGGCCCAGGGAGAGTACATCTCTCCTGAGAAGATAGAGAACATTTACATCCGCTGTGAGCCCGTGACCCAGCTCTACGTCCATGGTGACAGCCTACAGGTGATCTCCCTAACCACTTCGTTGTTATCGCATGACAGCCCATGGTAAGAGTTGTTTGGGCATTATCATTAAAGATGGGCACTGGACCCAGAACCACTGGCACACAGCTAGACATTAGCATAATACAAAAAATCCCCATATAAATCTGCCAGTTTAAGCTAGAGATATTTTTTTATTTTTTTTGCAATCTGCACTTCCGCATCTGCGGTGAAAGGTGGCAGAGCTCGAGCGGTGTTTGTCAGACCATGAGACATCTCGAAAATTGGTCTTCTCACAAAATCAGGTAACACTTACTTGACACCCAGCATCATAACACGTTATGACACAGTCATAATATGTCATAACAGCTGACATAACTTGTCATAACCAGTCATAATATGGTCATAACACTGTCATGACACATATATTTAGAACTGTTGTGACATACTGTATATTGCATGATTTTATCACTGATTATGACACCTACATAAGAGTGTCAAAACCCACAAAACATGCACCTACCCCAATGCTCTGTTGCTTATGAGCAGATTTCAGGAACATGATAAGGCACCATCTTTTTGACTGATGACTGACATAAGGTCATGGTCACGATGCTTCTTGACCGTGTCATAAAGTGTATTTTCTTAGTCCAAGTAAAGTGACACAGGAGGGTCATAATGCTTCTTGACAGTGTCATAAAGTGCATTTTCTTAGTCCAAGTAAAGTGACACAGGATGGTCATAATGCTTCATGAAAGTGTCATAAAGTGTATTTTCAGCAGGTTATTTAAAATATGATGGAAAAAAACACAACTGTAAATAATTAATTACAACAACAACAAAGGACTTAAGAAACAAACTTTTAAACAAAAGGAAACTTCTTGGCAGGGAAATAAATAATTTGAATAAATGTGAGTTTTGACACTCTTATGTAGGTGTCATAACCAGCCATATAATAACACAATATATGTCACAACAGGTGTAAATATGGGTCATGACAGTGTTATGACCATATTATGACCGGTTATGACCGTGTCATAATGTGTTATGAGGCTGTGTTTCAAGTAAAGTCTTAACCAAAATCGTCTCTAGCGTCTGAACGGTTTGACTATTATGGCCCCTCTGTGGAAAGATGACACTCTCACCAACACAATGGTGTTCTCAGTTTTGCGCTACGGCCTCCACAAGAGTCTTGGGACTCGCCTGAAGATCTGCCAACTTCTGTCTGTAGCGTCCGAACAGTTTGGGCTTCCCACTAATATGACCCCTCTATGGAAAGGTGAGACTCTCACGAACACGAATATGTTGTTTTGCTCTAGGACGCCCACAGGCCTCACAAGACTCATCTGAAGGTCCCCCGTACCAGTTGGAAATATTAATGGAAGTATACTGAACTAAAATATAAACCCATGTCACGGTTTCGGCCGAGGCTGCTCCTCCTCCTTGCTCGGGCAGGCTTCGGCGGTCGTCGTCCCCGGAGTACTAGCTACCACCGTTGTATGTTATCGATGTTTGTTTGGTTTTGTCTTCTTTGTACACCTGTTCCCTGTTAGTGTTAATTATGTATCCTATAAGTTTCTCGTTTGTTAGTCGTGTGTTGTGTGTAATTGTTCCGCCTGTCTGTTGGTGCTGTCCTTTTGTCTATTGCTTGTTTAGGACCGTCGCACTGTTTTCGTGCGCTATCAGTATTTTGGTGTTTTACGCACTGTTGCGTAATCGTTCGCCTCCGGGTTTGTTTAGGCCCGTTTTGTTATTTTTTGTCGTCTAGTAAAGTCTGGTTAGACTAAGCTTCTGTGTCCTGCGCTTGATTCCTACACCACATCTACATCAGCCTCCTGACAGAGCAACACGTTTAGTGTTGGTCCCATGTTTCATGAGCTGAAATAAAAGATTCCAGAAATTGTCCATATGCACATTTATTTCTCTAAAATGTTGTGCACAAATTTGTTTACATCCCTGTTAGTGAGCATTTCTCCTTTGCCAAGATAATCCATCCACCTGACATGTGTGGCATATGAAGAAGCTGATTAAACAGCATGATCATTACACAGGTGCATCTTGTGCTGGGGACAATAAAAGACCACTCTAAAATGTACAGTTCTGTCACACAACACAATGCCACAGATGTCTCAAGTTTTGAGGGAGTGTGCAATTGGCATGCTGACTGCAGGAATGTCCACCAGAGCAGTTGCCAGAGAATTGATTGTTAATTTCTCTACCATAAGCCTCCTCCAACTTCGTTTTAGAGAATTTAGCAGTCCGTCCAACCAGCCTCACAACCGCAGACCACCTGTATAGTATTGTGTGGGCGAGCGGTTTGCTGATGTCAACATTGTGAACAGAGTGCCCAATGATGGCGGTGTGGTTATGGTATGGGCAGGCATAAACTACGGATAACGAACACAATTGCATTTATCGATGGCAATTTGAATGCACAGAGATACCGTGACAAGATCCTGAGGCCCATTGTCATGCCATTCATCAGCCGCCATCACCTCATGTTTCAGCATGATAATGCACGGCCCCATGTCGCAAGGATCTGTACACAATTCCTGGAAGCTGAAAATGTCCCAGTTCTTCCATGGCCTGCATACTCACCAGACATGTCACCCATTGAGCATGTTTGGGATGCTCTGGATCGACATGTACGACAGCGTGTTCCAGTTCCCACCAATATCCAGCAACTTCAACCAGCCATTGAAGAGGAGTGGGACAACATTCCACAGGCCACAATCAACAGCTTGATCAACTCTATGCGAAGGAGATGTGTGGCGCTACATGAGGCAAAAAATGTTTAAGGTACAGTGGGGGAAAAAAGTATTTAGTCAGCCACCAATTGTGCAAGTTCTCCCACTTAAAAAGATGAGAGAGGCCTGTAGTTTTCATCATAGGTACACGTCAACTATGACAGACAAATAGAGATTTTATTTCTCCAGAAAATCACATTGTAGGATTTTTAATGAATTTATTTGCAAATTATGGTGGAAAATAAGTATTTGGTCACCTACAAACATGCAAGATTTCTGGCTCTCACAGACCTGTAACTTCTTCTTTAAGAGGCTCCTCTGTCCTCCACTCGTTACCTGTATTAATGGCACCTGTTTGAACTTGTTATCAGTATAAAAGACACCTGTCCACAACCTCAAACAGTCACACTCCAAACTCCACTATGGCCAAGACCAAAGAGCTGTCAAAGGACACCAGAAACAAAATTGTAGACCTGCACCAGGCTGGGAAGACTGAATCTGCAATAGATTAGCAGCTTGGTTTGAAGAAATCAACGGTGGGAGCAATTATTAGGAAATGGAAGACATACAAGATCACTGATAATCTCCCTCGATCTGGGGCTCCACGCAAGATCTCACCCCGTGGGGTCAAAATGATCACAAGAACGGTGAGCAAAAATCCCAGAACCACACGGGGGGACCTAGTGAATGACCTGCAGAGAGCTGGGACCAAAGTAACAAAGCCTACCATCAGTAACACACTACGCCGCCAGGGACTAAAATCCTGCAGTGCCAGACGTGTCCCCCTGCTTAAGCCAGTACATGTCCAGGCCCGTCTGAAGTTTGCTAGAGTGCATTTGGATGATCCAGAAGAGGATTGGGAGAATGTCATATGGTCAGATGAAACCAAAATAGAACTTTTTGGTAAAAACTCAACTCGTCGTGTTTGGAGGACAAAGAATGCTGAGTTGCATCCAAAGAACACCATACCTACTGTGAAGCATGGGGGTGGAAACATCATGCTTTGGGGCTGTTTTTCTGCAAAGGGACCAGGACGACTGATCCGTGTAAAGGAAAGAATGAATGGGGCCATGTATCGTGAGATTTTGAGTGAAAACCTCCTTCCATCAGCAAGGGCATTGATGATGAAACATGGCTGGGTCTTTCAGCATGACAATGATCCCAAACACACCGCCCGGGCAACGAAGGAGTGGCTTCGTAAGAAGCATTTCAAGGTCCTGGAGTGGCCTAGCCAGTCTCCAGATCTCAACCCCATAGAAAATCTTTGGAGGGAGTTGAAAGTCAGTGTTGCCCAGCGACAGCCCCAAAACATCACTGCTCTAGAGGAGATCTGCATGGAGGAATGGGCCAAAATACCAGCAACAGTGTGTGAAAACCTTGTGAAGACTTACAGAAAACGTTTGACCTGTGTCATTGCCAACAAAGGGTATATAACAAAGTATTGAGAAACTTTTGTTATTGACCAAATACTTATTTTCCACCATAATTTGCAAATAAATTCATTAAAAATCCTACAATGTGATTTTCTGGAGAAAAGAAATCTCATTTTGTCTGTCATAGTTGACGTGTACCTATGATGAAAATTACAGGCCTCTCTCATCTTTTTAAGTGGGAGAACTTGCACAATTGGTGGCTGACTAAATACTTTTTTCTCCCACTGTATCTGTGACCAACAGATGCATATCTGTATTCCCAGTCATGTGACATCCATAGATTAGGGACTAATGAATTTATTTAAATTGACTGTTACTCAGTAAAATCTTTGAAATTGTTTCATGTTGCGTTTATATTTTTGTACAGTGTATATACGGAGACTGTTTAGTGCCAAACATAAGAGGTTAATTAAATGTAAAAATAAAAAATAACAAAACCTTCCTGATCTTTCTTAAATCTCTCAGATATAGGACAGACACTTCAGAACAAACTTCCTTTAGATTTTTTGTTGGGACTATCTGTTGTTCCATATAGTGAATATGTTATTCAATGAGTTTATATGGGCTAATAGCAGTAAGGCCAACATTTTTTTTTTATCAAATAATTTTTGTTGACATTTTTTGGATACTTCAAGGGATCTTAAAATTCAAAATCAAATAGCTAAATGATCCTTGGTATGACTTTCTTAAAACAATTCCATATAGCTTAGTAGAACCCCCCCCCCTCTCCTCCTCCGGCTTAGACAGGGCATAGACTGTAATGGGTTAAAGCCACAGTTTATGCTGGATACTGTTTATGTACAGCTGGTTTCATAGAGAGACACATACTTACTTAAGCCCATCGAGAGAGAGAAAGAGAGAGCGATAAAGACAGACAACATCTGATTATTTCTCATTTCTAAAGGTTACTTGGTGTGTTTCTCTTCCAGTCCTGTCTGGTTGCCATAGTTGTTCCTGACCCAGAGACGATGCCTGCCTGGGCCCTGAAGAAAGGCATGGAGGGGAGCTATCGGGACCTCTGTAAAAATACTGTATGTGATTTCAATCCCATCGTCTACATTCAATGGCGTTTTCATTCTGTTTGTTGCCATGATGAAGGAGAGGGTTGAAATAATCAACTATGTGAATAGATGTGAATAGATTGACGTAATCAAAAGAAAGGATTCCTGTTGCACACCATTAATGTGTAGGTACTGCGCTTTAGAGAAAGATCATCAGATCCTCAGATCCTGAGTAAACTGAGTAAAGAAAAGGAAAGGGCAACTTGTTGAACCCTTTTAGTTGCACCCTGTCCTTTTGTTGAATAGACCGACATAACATAATACATGGTATTGTCTTAGAGTTATGGTATGGTGTCTTGTCTGTGTTTGTGTAAAGGTCCTGAAGAAAGCCATCATGGAAGACTTGCAGCGACTGGGAAAGGCCAGTGGCCTCCACTCGTTTGAGCAGGTGTGTGTGTGCGTGTGTCAATTGTGAGGTGTTCATTGGTGAGGGCAAATGACAACTGTCTGAAAGAGAATTGCTAGATGATGATGACAAACAGCTGATATGCACACTTGACCTGACAAAGGATCTAATGTATTCTGTCTCTCCCAAGGTGAAAAACATATACATCCATAACGAGCAGTTCTCCATACAGAATGGCTTGTTGACTCCCACATTAAAAGCGAAGAGACCCGAGCTGAGGGAGTTTTTTAAGGAGAAGATCGAAGACCTGTACGAAAACATCTCCATGTGAAATACTACCACGACCACCAAATAAAAGCCAGTTTCTCAGCAACATCACTCCTCATTAACATTTGTAATTCACTCCCCTTCACCCCCATCCAACCACAAAACAGACTCAAACCAACCAAACAAGTTACTGACCGTGGGTCAGGAAGGAAGAATCAACTTAGCTCTTTGGACCCCCACTGACCGAATGCTGTCTGCTGCTCCACGGCAGCCTAGCGGTTAGCATATTTTGCCAGTAACCGAAAGGTTGCTGGTTCGAATACCTGAGCCGACAAGGTGAAAAATATGTTGATGTGCCCTTGAGCAAGGCACTAAACCCTAATTTGCTCCAGGGTCGCCGTACTACTATGGCTGACCGTGTGAAACAACACATTTCACCTACAGTATTCGGTATATGTGACAATACATTTTTTATTTCTTTTTCAATGTAGAGCTAAAACCAAATCAGCCTCATCTCTTATCTTGAAACGCCAGCATCAGACAGTCAACATAGCCTGCATGTTACTCTTTCTTTTGTAGGCCTATCAAATCATTACAAAAAACTGATGCAATCTTTAAGTTTTTCTCCATGATGTGCTCAGAGAATTTGCCTGGTAAGAACATACCGACCTCGGCTAAGGGCATTGCATGCAGTGTGCCCTGCATTGCTGGGACCGTTGTTGCAGGAGACTTCAAAATGAGTCCTGGGCTTTTAAGGCAGTCAACAGGGGTGTAAAAACATTTTGTCTGTTGCAAAACGTTTTGCAACAGAAACAGTTCAATCAAAACGTAAAATATTTTGCAACAAAATCAAGAGTTTTTATTGGACAAATTCAGGTAGGCCCCTCCCCGTTTCATTCCGTTTATTCTGTTTACTCTAGCAACCAAATGGAAGCAAACGGTAAACGCTTTCCGTTGCAATGCAAAACGTTTTGCAACGGAATCCGACTAATGAAAACACCCCTGGTATACCAACACCGTCAACCGTCATACTGCAAGGCTTTCTCATGTAGTCGAGATCGACAGGCTCCACTCATTGACGGAGGTTAAAACAAAATGGACTGTGAAAATGTGGGTTTATGTTGTACAAATGTATGGGCTTTTGAGTTAATTTCAGTCCCAAATTATTACTATGTAGATGTACATATTAAGGACAATTAGACATAAGCATATTTAAGCAATGGTTTGAATGGATTTTTTGCGTGTAGTGAAATGAATTGTAACTTTATTTAATCTGTTGTCAAATGGAATCAGCACCATATCCTTGTATTGAATGAGTGCAGCAACAGGGATTAGGGGTGGGGTGGGGATGGAGCAGAGAAAAATAAAATACATTCTGGAATGATTTTAATTAATTCTTTCTTTATTCTTTTCCATGTCAAGTGATGCTTAAACAAACTAAAACAGAATTACCTTTGCATTGCAACACAGACTCATTTGGCTGGGCGATATAGACAGAAAGTGTTAAAGGCCCAGTGCAGTCAAAAATGTGATTTTCCTGTGTTTATATATATTTCCACCCGGAGGTTGGAATAATACTGTGAAATTGTGAAAATTATGATAGTGCCCTTTTTATTGTAAGAGCTGTTTGAAAGAAATGCCTGAAATGTTAGCCTGTTTTGGTGGGAGGGAATTTTGGCCTTCCATGGTATTCCAAGCAGTAAATAAGTTAATAGACCAATAAGAAAGAGTTCCAAACCTCTCTGCCAATATTTTCTTCCATTTTATTTGAAAAACAATCACAGTATGGTACTTAATTGTTACCCTGAAATGATTTGATATTGAGATCAAAACGGCTGCATTGGACCTTTAAAGGGATCCTGCGAGATTCGGGCCCTTGTTCTACTTACCCAGAGTCAGATGAACTCGTGGATACCATTTTTATGTCTCTGTACCCGTACCCATAGACTTCCAGTCATTGCGCTAACGCTAGTAAGCGTTTGCTTCCGAAACTACCGCTAACTTACTTTATACTGCACGCAGAGTCATAAAAATGGTATCCACGAGTTTATCTGACTCTGGGTAAGTAGAACAAGGGCCTGAATCTCGCAGTATAATAGCAATGATCACGGTCGTGATATAGGGTGATAAGATCAAATCAAATTGTATTGGTTGCGTACACAGTTTAGCAGGTGTTATGGAGGGTGCAATGAATACTTCTGTTCTAGTTCCTATCAATCAATGCAGTAATAGTCAAACAAGCACACAATAATACAAAATGTAAAAAAAGAATCACAAATGTAGTACAGCAGTAGATACAGTACCAGTCAAAAGTTTGGACACACCTACTCATTCAAGGGTTTTCTTTATTTTTATTATTTTCTACATTGTAGAATAATAGTGAAGACATCAAAACTATGAAATAATACATATGGAATCATGTAGTAACCAAAAAAGTGTTAAACAAATCAAAATATATTTGGACTCCAGACCAAAGGACAAATTTCCACCGGCCTAATGTCCATTACTCGTGTTTCTTGGCCCAAGCAGGTCTCTTCTTATTTGTGTCCTTTAGTAGTGATTTCTTTGCAGCAATTCGACCATGAAGGCCTGATTCACACAGTCCCCTCTGAACAGTTGATGTTGAGATGTGTCTGTTACTTGACAAGCAATGCAGATGTAGGAGCATAGGCCGTTGACAAATGTCCTCCTCCATCGGGGCAAGTTTTTCCAGGTCTCACCATGTTGAGGCTACTTTCAGTCATTTCTGCCTGGACAAATAGGTCTACAACTATCACTAAACATCAAACCACAAAAATGAGTCACTTACATACAAGCCGTTCAGACGATCACATGAATCCACTTCACAGATAAGATGTGATTGACATAGGACTATTTGGGGAGGGTATGAGGATTGTGTACATTGCATCTGGAAGAACAGGCATGCTTGTACAGCACTTTTGTAAATGAATTTAAAGTATGACATTTTTTTATATAATTGCAAGTGAAACCATGGGACTGGTTAGGAATCAATGAAGATTACATAGTAATATTCCAACTGATGAATGTAAACAGGGCAGGTCATAAAGAATCCTGTAGTATGTTAAAAAATATATGAATAATATGTTTTATAGTAAATCTAAGATCGGTAGGTAGGACAGGAATAAAGCTGTACATGTTGGATATTTTAATACTCAGTGTTTTTCCTTCTTTGACTAATGACACTATTTTAGGTGAGTGGTCATGTCTCAAACCTGCTACAGTGTTACCGTACTCTATTTTTGCATTTGATTTTTATGGCCAGCAAGGAGCGCCAACATAATTATGGGGAACATCGCCACACATCTTTTTTTTTAAGAGCTCGAGATAAAAGTTTTTTGGGGGGGACAAGATGACGGGTAGGCCTACACCCGAATGGTTGTCAGACTTGGAGGTGGAGTCAGAGGAACCCATAGAGGTTGATAAGAAGGCTGGCAGGAAAAAAAGGAAGAAAGGGGAACATATTAAGAGTAAATATGGAGTGCTGCAGAAGGAAATTGAACATGACGAGAGTCAGGATGAATTAACTGCGGTGGCAGGTGTTGTGAAGACCGCAGAGTTTGAGCCTCCTCCCGATGGTGATGAAGATGATTTTGGCCCAGTTGGAGCGAGATTTTTGGAGAGAATGGATTCTTGCCTTCTGGCTGATCCATATGTGGTGTCAGGTTAGGTGGAGAAGAGGTTGGGGAATGTTAGGTTGGTGAAAGTGACTCAAAGTGGAATCGTGTCGCACCACACGACTGGGGACAAGAAGTGTGACATACTGTTGAAAGGAGTGATAACTGGAGTGGCGTTAAGTGTTGAGGAGGGTCAACTGACGTTGAAGACTCTCTGTGTTTGTGACGCCAGCCGTTTGGTGCGACGAAGACCCAGTGGAGATTGTGGTGAAACAGAGAAGACACTGTCAGTACTACTGAGTTTTGATGCGGAGTCTTTACCAGATAAAGTCAAGTTAGGATGTGTCAGTTATTCCGTGAGAGCTTTTGTCCCAATCCACTACAGTGTTTTAGGTGTCAAGCTTATGGTCATGTAGCAGCAGTATGTAGGAGGGAGATTCCTAGATGTGAGAAGTGTGCAGGAGGACATGAGACAAAGGAATGTGTAGTATTGGTGGAAAGAGTTGTGTGTGTTAACTGTAGGGGTACCCATGGTACTGGAGATCAGAGGTGTCCGGTGAAAGGCAGGTTGAGGTTGCCAGGTTCAGAGTAGTGCAGAAGGTGTGGTATGCTGAGACAGTAAAGAGAGTAGAAGAGGAAGATGTTGGCCGAGGCTAATAGAGAGTGATAGGAATAACATGTGCTTCAGTAAGGTTGTTTTTTTGGCATTCATGGCCATGGTTGTCAATTGTACGGCAGCAATGGAACTTAAATCACAGAGGATAGATGTTCTGGTGGCAGCTACAGGGAACTACTTGGGTGTATGAGATTTTACTGCAGAAGAGTTACAAGATGTTTTGAATGATAGTGTCCCATCCTTCAAGGCTGCTGGCCTGCAGTAGGATCAGATAGGGCCGAAGTAGTGGAATAGTGGTTAGGTTTTAATGGGTGCCATTTTTTTCACAAAGTGTAATGAATTCATACCACAGAATAGTAGGCTGATACACAGCCGATACAGTAGGTGGCGCCATGCACCTATAATATTTGTTTTGGACTGCCATAATACCAAAGAAGAAGCTGCTGACGCTCCAGAGGCCTACAGAGGTTTGTGAGAAAAATTTAAAAAACGAGCTTTGGCCAATGACAACGTTTTAATAATTGAATGAAGAATAGTTTGTTCGAACTGTATCTTTCTGATTAGTTGGTTTGCTGGCTTTATACCTTGATCTAACAAGTGAAACACCTGCCTGGCCAAAAAAACTAACAAATGTTGGCTACCGTTAGCTAGCTACTGTAGCTAACTTAGCAGGCGTCATTATCGGGTCACTCAAACACGTTAGCTAGCTAACAAGTTTGAAAGTTCATTCTCACCTTGACTTCATATAAAGTGGATGTAAATACATCTATGAGCCTCCTAATAGTGTTTTGATTAAACTGTAACTTTTCTCTCCAAAGAATAATCTTGTTTTTGATGGAATGGTTCGTTCAAAACGTCGGAGTGATGACACCATCACAAGACGAGAAGGAATGCTCAGCCGCAGCTCCAGAAGGCAGAGTCGCGATACACCTTTGAAGTCAGGTGGCACAAGAGGCAGTAAGAAATGGGATGCCTTTCAGTGACAGTATGAGCTATTATGATTATACCTGTCCTGAAGGCCATCTCTCCCCTGATATCTTCATACACAGATAAGATGTAGCAATCTATAAAGTATTACAAAAACAGTTTCAGACAACCAGCTACACACGGATCTACAGTACCAGTCAAAAGTTTGGACCTACATACTCATTCAAGGGTTTTTCTTTATTTTTTAAAACTATTTTCTACATTGTAGAATAATAGTGAAGACATCAAAACTATGAAATAACACATATGGAATCATGTAGTAACCAAAAAAGTGTTAAACAAATCAAAATATATTTTATATTTGAGATTCTTCGAAGTAGCCACCCTTTGCCTTGATGAAAGCTTTGCACACTCTTGGCATTCTCTCAACCAGCTTCATGATGTGGTCACATGGAATGCATTTCTATTAACAAGTGTGCCTTCTTAAAAGTTAATTTGTGGAATTTCTTTCCTTCTTAATGGGTTTGAGCAAATCAGTTGTGTTGGGACAAGGTAGGGGTGGTATACAGAAGATAGCCCTATTTGATAAAAGACCAAGTCCATATTATGGCAATAACAGCTAAAATAAGCAAAGAGAAATGACAGTCCATCATTACTTTAAGACATGAAGGTCAGTCAATATGGAACATTTCAAGAACTTTGAAAGTTTCTTCAAATGCAGTCGCAAAAACCATCAAGCGCTATGATGAAACTGGCTCTCATGAGGACCGCCACAAGAAAGGATGACCCAGAGTTACCTCTGCTGAAGAGGATAAGTTCATTAGAGTTAACTGCACCTCAGATTGCAGCCCAAATAAATACTTCACAGAGTTCAAGTAAGACACATCTCAACATCAATTGTTCATAGGAGACTGCATGAATCAGGCCTTCATGGTCGAATTGCTGCAAAGAAACCACTACTAAAGGACACCAATATGAAGAAGAATCTTGGGCCAAGAAACACGAGCAATGGACATTAGACCGGTGGAAATCTGTCCTTTGGTCTGATGAGTCCAAATTTGACATTTTTGGTTCTAACTGCTGTGTCTTTGTGAGACGCAGAGTAGGTGAACGGATGATCTCCGCATGTGTAGTTCCCACCGTGAAGCGTGGAGGTGTGATGGTGGGGGGGTGTCGGGCATTTATTTAGAATTCAAGGCACACTTAACCAGCATGGCTACCACAGCATTCAGCAGCGATACGCCATCCCATCTGGTTTGCTCTTGGTGGGACTATCACTTGTTTTTCAACAGGACAATGACCCAAAACACACCTCCAGGCTGTGTAAGGGCTACTTGACAAAGGAGAGTGATGGAGTGCTGCATCAGATGACCTGGCCTCCACAATCACCCGACCTCAACCCAATTGAGATGGTTTGGGATGAGTTGGAATGCAGAGTGAAGGAAAAGCAGCCAACAAGTGCTCAGCATATGTGGGAACTCCTTCAAGACTGTTAGAAAAGCATTCCTCATGAAGCTGATTGAAAGAATGCCAAGAGTGTGCAAAGCTGTCATCAAGGCAAAGGGTGGCTACTTTGAAAAATATAAAATATTTGTCGAACACTGTTTTAGTTACTACATGATTCCATATGTGTTATTTCATAGTTTTGATGTCTTCACTATTATTCTACAATTAAGAAAATAGTAAAAATAAAGAACAACTTTAGAATGAGTAGGTGTGTCCAAACTTTTGACTGGTACCTTACATGCAGCACAACTGGTGGACAAAAAAAGTTAACCAAGCCCAGCAGTATACTCATTCCCAAGCAGAGGAAGCTAAACCTTGCTCATAGCCGATCATTAGGTTTGACTACTATGGTTGCTGATAGCTTGCCTGGCAGAAGCAAATTGGTCTGGATGCCAGGCAAGCTGATCACATCTTTTGTTTAAATTTCAGAACTGAAACGACTCTTCCCTAAACCCCTCTGCGCACGGCCAAAAGGCCATGTTCTGTCACCCATAAATGAGTCAACATGCACTGACCACGGGTGAGTTGCTTCATCTGCTCAACAATTTATAACAGTTAGAAAAGGGTTAAGTCCCAAATGGTACCCTATTTCCTATATAGTGCACTACTTTTGACCAGAGCCCTATGGGCCCTGGTCAAATTAGTTCTCTAAATGGGGAGTAGGGTGCCATTTGGGATGCAGACAGATAAGATTTGTAGCTAGCATTAACGTGAATTATCATTCCTAGTACATCCCATTGTTATATTTACCTCAACAGATCTGTCTCGTCAACTGCTCCCTGGATGAACAGAATGCTGGAATCAAATGGAACTGTGAGTGAAAACATTCATTAAACCAGTTCGCATCACCTCCAATTCACTCTACTTTAACTTATCACGCTCCATTTTCTCTTTTCAGGAGAGCACAATAAATTCAAGCACAGAAGACAGTTCAAGTTGAGTTTGGAACATGTTTTTTTGTCAGTTCATGGATAAACCCATGCTCACTTTGGTCCTTCGTGTTTTTTGGATTGGTAATTGCAAATGAATGGGTCAGAAAGTTAGTTATTGAACGTAATGTTTTTTCTATGTGCAGTTTCACAAGTGGGTGTTTCCTCCCTCCTGTTGGATTGTGATGAGACTGACTCTGCTGACATCATCTCCAGCGATACCAGCTCCAGCAGTCTGCCCTCACCTGAGCTGTTCCGCAGAGAGGAAGTCTATGGTGTGTGTGTTGGTCTAGGACACAACAGGCACTGTAAAAAGACATGGCTGACGGCCCATGCCCTAAGAAGTTGAGTGACAGGGTTTTTTCAATCCCATCTTTTTTTGCGGTTTAGAAGAGATAGTGGCCTTCCCCAGTGAGGAGATGTTGGACCTGCATGTAAAGAACTCCACTCTCCTAGATGTCAGCCATGCTGAGGACATCCATATGCAGCAGCCTCCTAACCTGTCTTCCATCATTGGTAAGAGATACAGCACAATACTGGACATACATGATGTTTCCCAAATGGCACCCTATTCACTTTATAGACTACTATTTTGTATCTGTGCCCATAGTGCACTACTTTTGACCAGAGACCTCTCTTGGGAAAATGGTGCCATTTGGGACACACAAAGTGTTTGTTTTTTTAAAGGACCCTGAAACCTTGTCAACCTTGGAGAGGTTTAGTATTCCATGCTTCCTAATGTTCACAAAATGTACTTTTCTTTCTTTGCAGACATCTCCCAAATGAATGATGGAAAAGATCAGGAAAAAAGGTAGATTTGATTGAATGGCCCCGCCCCTTTTTATAAGATGTGAAATTAACTTTTTCATAGAATTAAAAGTAATTTATATTCTAACAAATAACATTCATTTTTTTCACAGCCACTTAGCACTACCCATTAGAAGTACATCTTCAGGTATTTGCTTATAATTTTACATTTACATTTAAGTCATTTAGCAGACGCTCTTATCCAGAGCGACTTACAAATAATATATTTTATCCTGATTTTAAATAACTAATACAGTCATTTATGTAATTTTTTAAAATTGTTATTATGCCTAACAAAAACAGGAGAACACATATAATTTCCATGTATTTGTAGACAAGCTGTTCAATGCCTATGTGTCCATTGAAAGCACACCCCTAGCTGGAGGAGTAACTGTGCCCTCAGTCCCCAAGAAAAGACCAAGGGTATGAAAACGCTCACCTGTCTTGTATTTCTCAGATTCTATCTGAGCTACAAGTGGCATGTAAAGAGAAACTGTGGATCATCTGCAAGTGTAAGAATGTCAGTTAGTAATGAAGTCCTCCTCTCACAGCCAGTGACGATTAGACCCAGGAAGATCAAATGCAGGAAGAGAGTAACATTCAGTGGCTCTGTTACCGCTGAGAAGATGGTAGTGAACAATGTGGAGCCTGTCAGTGACCATACGGCCAGTGAAGTCAGTGAGAGGACCAGAGACACAGTAGACAACAGAGAGACTGCTGCCCCTGAAGAAGTCCCACAAGTCCTGAAAAGACCCACACATCACTCACCAGAGCAAGCCAAGTCCTTTGACTTTGCAGACAAGAAAGAAAAAGACACCTTCTTTCAAAAGTTGAGGCAGAGGTACTCCTCCATGAGGGTAAGCATCCTCTCTGAATGGTCAGTCTCTGGATGATTTCAGATGCCATGTATCAGGGATTTGCTGTCATGGTATGTTGTTTGACTGACCATGGTCCTGGTATTTTTTGTCACCAGAGTATATTCGCCAATGTTGATGTTGGTGGGCGTTCGACAGATACATTTGAAGATGAGGGTGATGTTGTTTGGTAAGCACAATTTCTACATAGGATGAAGTCCTGCAGATGTTAGTAAAAAAAATATCTGCAGGACTCTGTTATACCATGCACAGAAATGTCTTGCAGAAATGTCATTACTTGAGACGTCCAGTAGAGGTCATGCCTCTCTTCTCATCAGACCTTTCATTGCGTCCTCTGAAGTATTTCCATGAGTAGGGCCAGGAGTTTTTCCTGACCAATGTGACCGAACCTGGGGTGTATTCATTACGCCAATTCTGTTGCAAAACATTTCTTAAATGGAAGCAAACTGAATGAAACGGGGAGGGACCTACCTGAATAGAAACTCTCGTTTTGCCCCTTTGTGGCTCAGTTGGTAGATCATGGTGGGACCAGTACAGAAAAAAGTATGAAAATGTATGCACTCACTACTGTTTGCTTCCGTTTGGTTTTTAAACAGTAAACAGTTTCCGTAGTAAATACACCCCAGAAAAAGCTTTTGGCTCTAGTTATTAGCTGTAAATCGGGCTCGAGGTTTTTCCTACTCGGGAGAAATCCCTGCTGGCCTTTCCATGAAACATACTGTTTTGTTTTTATAATTTATAGTAATGGTTGAGTATGATTGATCTGCTGCTACTTTTGTTCATTTTCCATTGTTGTTATTGAACATTGTGCTTTATTCACTCTGCAGTTCAAAGATGTAAGTACCAAGTAGTTTAAAGGGCTGAACCATCTGTGGAAGGTGTGCCGGTTCCAGCCCTCCAGGACGTAAAGCTACCACAACTTGTAAAAGCTGTCATCAATACAGGTGAGAAAGCAAACAAAGCACATTGTCTGAAGGTCATATTTTAACCTTATTTTACATGCCATTTTCTCTAAACATTAATCTCACAATGACCATTTTCTTCATTCTCTTTTAGGACAATTCTGATCCCCAAAGGTTTTCACAGTCCATGGACAGGTTGTCATGGTTTAAAATAATAAAATAAAAACAACTATGAAATTCTGTTTCTGTAATAGATAATGTAGATACATAATGTTCAAATATTTTAATTTAATTGTTAACATAATAAATTGATAAAATACAGTCCTGCTGTATCTGAGCTTGTTTGACTGAACATGTGAAATATATTTCAGGCTTAGAATTGGACTGTGATGTATACAAATTATTTATTATGTTTTAGGTGTTGAATGTACATTTTATTTGGTGTCTCGTATTGTAACTTTAAGCCAAAACATAAACAGAGCGATTATTTTGACCACGTGGTGCTTGGCCAAAAATATCAGCCAATCAAGTATTTTCGAGGAGCAGTGGATCGTCGTCCAATCAGAAAACTAGTGGGTTTCCAAGCAGTTCGTGTGACTAATGCCTGTCATATGACTCTGACACAAATGGAGTTAGTTTCAAGGAACTAGGGCTGCACTTGGATTTGAAAGAAAGTGAGACTTTCTGTACCAAATAATTTGGTACAAAATGCCTCCAACTCTTTTCCAGAAACTTTTTAATAAGAGAAATTCATTTTCGCCGCCCCCAAGATGCAACAAAGAGGACCCCGCGTTCAGGTACGTGCGCATGCTATCCACAATAAGCTGCAAGCTATAGCTAGCTAACGTTAGTTGAGCAGCTCATTCTCTTGTGAAAGGGGTGAGCAGAAGTTGTCACGAGTATTAGGTATTAAGATACAGTTATGCAATCCGTAATATGCAACGTGTTTTAACCACCTAGCATTCCGATAACGGCAACTGTATGCTGCCTTTAATTGTTGCCACCAACTAACTGCAGCTAACCCACTCCAACCACATCGTGAAATCGCTTGAGAAAGAATTTGGGTCTTTGTAGAAAGTAAGGCAATGCCTCCGCTCTTTTGTTGGAAATTACTTGAAGACAAAGTAACACGAGGCAAAGCAAATGATGTTACTATTTTGTGTTGTGCTGGATAGGGTGTTAATCTTGGTGTGTGTAAGTTATCCACTGTAAGTTATCGGTTTTATGTTGAATATCTGTTCACACAAACAACAAGAATTCATAACTAACTAGCTACAATTCAAGAGTATTATCACTTGGTGCCAAGTACAACCTGCATGTATGCTACTGTACCCAGTCGCAGGCACAGTAGTTGTGTGTACGTGCAACGGTGCACGTGACTGCTCAATGGCTGGGCCTATGACAGCTAGATGGCTGGTAAACTGACGCTGCGCTGTGAAGGCTCAGTAAATACATTAGTTGTGCTATAGTTTCTCTGATTACCATGAATTTACAAAGCATTGATGACATTGACCTTCTGTTACTGCGCATTGGGAAATCCTTTTATAAATTCTTAAATACTGGCGTCATGTCATCCATATCATCCCAAAATATATAATGTTATTTGTGAATTATAGGCCAAAAATTTAAATTTAAAGAAAAATGTCAGGTGTCACTCGCGAGACTCCCGATGATAAATACCCTCAGTTATACAGTGGGGAGAACAAGTATTTGATACACTGCCGATTTTGCAGGTTTTTCTACTTACAAAGCATGTAGAGGTCTGTCATTTTTATCATAGGTACACTTCAACTGTGAGAGACGGAATCTAAAACAAAAATCCAGAAAATCACATTGTATGATTTTTAAGTAATTAATTTGCATTTTATTGCATGACATAAGTATTTGATCACCTACCAACCAGTAAGAATTCCGGCTCTCACAGACCTGTTAGTTTTTCTTTAAGAAGCCCTCCTGTTCTCCACTCATTACCTGTATTAACTGCACCTGTTTGAACTCGTTACCTGTATAAAAGACACCTGTCCACACACTCAATCAAACAGACTCCAACCTCTCCACAATGGCCAAGACCAGAGAGCTGTGTAAGGACATTAGGGATAAAATTGTAGACCTGCACAAGGCTGGGATGGGCTACAGGACAATAGGCAAGCAGCTTGGCGAGAAGGCAACAACTGTTGGTGCAATTATTAGAAAATGGAAGAAGTTCAAGATGACGGTCAATCACCCTCGGTCTGGGGCTCCATGCAAGATCTCACCTCGTGGGGCATCAATGATCATGAGGAAGGTGAGGGATCAGCCCAGAACTACACGGCAGGACCTGGTCAATGACCTGAAGAGAGCTGGGACCACAGTCTCAAAGAAAACCATTAATAACACACTACGCCGTCATGGATTAAAATCCTGCAGCGCACGCAAGGTCCCCCTGCTCAAGCCAGCGCATGTCCAGGTCCGTCTGAAGTTTGCCAATGACCATCTGGATGATCCAGAGGAGGAATGGGAGAATGTCATGTGGTCTGATGAGACAAAAATATAGCTTTTTGGTCTAAACTCCACTCGCCGTGTTTGGAGGAAGAAGAAGGATGAGTACAACCCCAAGAACACCATCCCAACCGTGTAGCATGGAGGTGGAAACATCATTCTTTGGGGATGCTTTTCTGCAAAGGGGACAGGACGACTGCACCGTATTGAGGGGAGGATGGATGGGGCCATGTATCGCGAGATCTTGGCCAACAACCTCCTTCCCTCAGTAAGAACATTGAAGATGGGTCGTGGCTGGGTCTTCCAGCATGACAAAGACCCGAAACACACAGCCAGGGCAACTAAGGAGTGGCTCCGTAAGAAGCATCTCAAGGTCCTGGAGTGGCCTAGCCAGTCTCCAGACCTGAACCCAATAGTAAATCTTTTGAGGGAGCTGAAAGTCTGTATTGCCCAGCGACAGCCCCGAAACCTGAAGGATCTGGAGAAGTTCTGTATGGAGGAGTGGGCCAAAATCCCTGCTGCAGTGTGTGTAAACCTGGTCAAGACCTACAGGAAACGTATGATCTCTGTAATTGCAAACAAAGGTTTCTGTACCAAATATTAAGTTCTGCTTTTCTGATGTATGAAATACTTATGTCATGCAATAAAATGCAAATTACTTACTTAAAAATCATACAATGTGATTTTCTGGATTTTTGTTTTAGATTCCGTCTCTCACAGTTGAAGTGTACCTATGATAAAAATGACAGACCTCTACATGCTTTGTAAGTAGAAAAACCTGCAAAATCGGCAGTGTATCAAATACTTGTGTAAACATTGGGAAATAGTGGTCCTCTGTAGCTCAGCTGGTAGAGCACGGCGTTTGTAACGCCAAGGTAGTGGGTTCGATCCCCGGGACCACCCATACACAAAAAAAAAAAATAAAAAAAATAAATGTATGCACGCATGACTGTAAGTCGCTTTGGATAAAAGCGTCTGCTAAATGGCATATTATTAGGAAAACCTGCAAAATCGGCAGTGTATCAAATACTTGTTCTCCCCACTGTATGTGTCAACCACGTTCTACAGCCAGAAATATGTCCTGTCTGAGGGAGATAAATGGAGCAGAGTGCATTTCACACTTTGGCTTCGATTGGGGCATGGCTTACTATTCCCTTTCTGGCCCACACGTCAGTACATTTCTTTGGCACACAGGCTTCATTCATCAGACACGCAGGACTGACAGACAGGTGTTCACTGGAACACCCAGGCACAGGTCTGAAGAAGCAACACTTTGGTGTCTCTTACTACAAAATTATTGATTTGCTTATCTGACAGTGACACTACTCGTATACTGACACCTGTGATTGAGCCTTAAGAAGATATTTTCATCTGGAACAGTTTGTGAGGGCTCGAACACGCTGGGATGGAGATGTCACTGTGAAAAAGTTAACTTTGTGCCGCCTACTTATCAATGACTCTTCCCTAAACCCATAGTTTTATCAATATGAGACAAGTAAGCAAAACTTAATGTTAAGGAGGCTCTGTTGGACTGGGCCTGGAACAGCACTGCCACATCACTGCACTATCCCTCCCTAAGAATACCAGGCAGGGCAGCAGGTTGGCTGACCCTCTGAGGAAAACCTAAACAGTGCTCGTATTTCCCTGGCTATGAGTGACCCAAGGGCAGCATACTGTACATTGCTGAGAGATCCCACCCAAGGGCTTTGTTTGCTCCCCTGCTGCAAACAACTTCCTTCCTGTACCACAGCACAGCCTGAAGTGTGGACTTAACACACTGCTCCTTCCCCAGC